TAGCTTCGCATTCCAAGTGCAGGTGAACCACTTCGGTCTGCTTTCGGCTTAGGGTTTATTGTCGCAGTTTCCCTAAACCCCTGCTCTCACAGGGCCCAGGGCTCCAGGCGCCTGGCGGAGGCTCTCGACCTCGCGCCGTGCCTCCTGCTCGCGGTGCTCTGCTTCGGCCGCGCGGGCGGCCAGGGCCCTCAGCCTCGGCAAGAACACATACTACAGTAAGGATATAGGAATGTGTATGTATAGATATTTGTGTATATATGTACATGCATTATATCAGAAACTCGCACATGCAGAATTAGATGTAATGTTGACCTCGTAATAATAAACCCCCCCCCTTCAATCAAACCCCCCCAAATAGAGTGGGGGCCCCTTTGAATAAGGATTCCTTTCCTTAGAGAGACTTAGAGAGGATCAGAGAGAATCACTCAGGATTCCTTTCCTTAGAGAGAATTAGAGAGGATCAGAGAGAATCAGAGAGGATCAGAAAGGATCAGAGAGAATCAGAGAGGATCATAGGGAATCAGAGAGAATCAGAAAGAAGGGCTGGGAGGGTTCTACGGGTCAGGGCTTGGTTAATACCCTAAACCCTAAACCCTAAACCCTAAACCCTAACCCTAAAACCTAAAGAGCTTTTTTTCAGGCAGGACTTTCCAGGAACTTTATTCCGAGGGGCAGATCTTTCAGGATTATTTCCAGGGCACCGGCCTCCAAAGCTACCCCCTTTGCCAGAAAGATTTTTTCAATCCTCTAGTAAGGCTCTCAAATAAAAAACAGCAAGTTTCTCAGGAGTTTGGTTTTCAGGTTTCTCTTCGAAATCTGATCGCTTCATGTTTTCCTATAATTAAATCCTAAACCCTAAACCCTTAACCCTAATTAGACCCTAAACCCTAAACCCTAAGACTTTAATTGCAGGGGCCCCTGGATTTAGAGACCAGGCCATACCCTTATCCCTAAACCCTAACCCTAACCCTAAACCCTTAACCCTAATTCAATAAGACTCCACAACACCTAAGTAAACCTAAGCCATGAACCCTAAACCTAATGAAACCATGAAGCGATCATTCAGGCAGGAATTTCCAGGAACTTTATTCCGAGGGGCAGATCTTTCAGGATTATTTCCAGGGCACCGGCCTCCAAAGCTACCCCCTTTGCCAGAAAGATTTTTCAATCCTCTAGTAAGGCTTTCAAAAAGAACCTGCAAGTTTCTGATGAGTTTGGTTTTCAGGTTTCTCTTCGAAATCTGATCGCTTCATGTTTTCCTAATTAAATCCTAAACCATAAAACCCTTAACCCTCCCTCTCTTTTCTCTCCATAAACAAACAAAGAACAACGGACACCCCCAAAAAAAAACAAGCCCCGACTGGCGTACTTTATTCCCAGGGCTTTATTATTGCGGCCGGGACACCTGGCGCACTTTAATTTACGGGGGTTTAGTAATACGAGGTTAACATTACATATCCGCACATGTACATGTACATATCCGTAATGGCGCCAGCAATGCACGAGCATTGCGGGGCCTGTACTCTTGTGTTTTGAGGCTTCAAAAGGTCAGGGACTGCGCCCTAGAATCAATCAGCGTTGCGGTGCCCATGGTGTCTCATAGCTGCAAATGTAGGTAGCAGTAAACAATGACAAGGCAGCCTGGTCGATTCCTCTGGACACTCTGGAAAGCTCTCCGCCTCCTTGTCCTCGACCAATTCGGGCCTTGGGCAATGATCGGAAGTGGTCGTGGCCGGATGCATGCAGCTGGTGTCACAAATGCAATCAGGCTTCTTCGGCGCATCCACGGAGGCAAAAGCTGTCTGGATGAGGCCTTTTGGATACCACGCTCAGGTTTTCAGACAACCTACACTTCGCAGTGGCGCCCCCTGGCTAAGGCCGCCATAGCATCTATGGTCGCTATATACGAGTGGAAGCAAGGTCCGCTTATAAGCGGGTGACGGCGCCTTTCATGCCTAGTCCCCGAATGCGCGGGCCATGACGGAGAGATCGAACGGTCTTGGGGCCGAACACATCCCACCCACATCATTACTGTATACTGACACCTGTCTACTTTTCTAGCCACAGACCCGAGGGTCCTCGCCCCCCCCCCCCCTGGCGGGGTATGTGGCCATCAGGAGTCATATGCGCAAGAAGCGGGAAGGCAAGCTCGTCGACTGCGTTCTAGTAGGCGCACTGGCCAAGGGTGTCATGGATATCTTCTTGGCAGGACTTTTGAAGAAAACTCTAGGAAACTGTTGAGTAGCTTATCGACGAGATCAGCGCCCCATGGCGCTCGAGGCCAATCAAAGCACTGCTGACCTAGAAAGCGAGCTCAAGTACTTGGCATGCGTGCAGCCGAACCGGGAACTTCGTGGCCATTGGTAACTGCAGCAATTTTGAGCTCGCGCAGGAGAGGAACGATGGGAGAAAGCGAAGCAGAGCTCGGGGGCTGATTCGTACACCAGGATTCTTCAGGACCGTCTCAGATCCCAGGCCGGCAGGGTACGTTCGTAACCCTGGCCATGGGGCGAAAAATCCAAATATTGCTTGGTTCGTATGTGCACATTGCATCAATACCTTGGCAGGCGTACTTCCGAATGCGGTACATATCAAGCTGGCTCATCAGTTTACGTCAGCCAAGTCCAACTGCCTCGATCACGGCTCTTTGCGTGTCGCTTCAGTGGCTTGTCTGGCGGCAATCAACCATGCTGGACCCATTCCCGTTCCAGGCGCACATTGACCTGAGAATCTCTCACGGTGTGACCCTGCCAAAGGCTCTGACCATCTGCTTCTTGCACGAGGTGCAAGATTTTGGCAGATCTGTCCTGCCAACCACTACTTCTACAGCTCAATCTGATGCAGTGCAGACAGTGGATGGCCCCGAACATGGTGGGCAGTGTATGCAAACATGCGCTACGAGCTACACTTCAGTTTCCAGACATTGATGATGTTGACTTGGTGCGCCAACTATTTGTCATTGCTTGCGCCTATTTGTACCGACATTCCAGACACTCTTGCGGCGTTTTGGCCTGTCCTGCGTGCTCGCCTTTGCATCCTCAACTTTTGTTCGGGCTCGGAGCAGTTGCCGACGGATATGTCGAGTCTGTTCAAGAAGCCTGCGCCGTGGTCAGCGCTCAAACAGAACGGGCTGACTTAAAGTGCACTTTTGCAAAGCATCTATAATCCTACTTACCTGAACAAGCCCTCATGGACTCACGGACTCATGGCATTTGTGTAGACAGTTGCGCAACATGTCACAAGAAGATCATGGCCTCAGGGCACCTTTAGATTGAGAATCAGACAACACAAGGTTCGAGAAGGGAGCACAAGGCAGGGTGGTCGCTTTTCCCTACCATGCGATGTCGAAGTGTCCTGCATCTAGCCCCGTAGTATCCTTCGTGAGCAAATACAGAAACTCTTTGCCACGTGCGGCATGTGTTCGACTTGCACGTGCACAGTGCTCGAATCGGCTTGCAATGTGTTCTTTTCTATCTCTTTTCGGCTGCAAGGTGCTGAGAAACCACTCCCAGGTATTATCTCAGCATCCTCCGTATCCATCCAAGCAATGCACACTGCGCAATTGGGACTGTCGACCTCATGTCGCAGTCTAGTCTTGCAGGAGCATCGAACGGGGCACTGTTGCTTAGAACAGCTTCACGAAAGCCGTCAGCGAATCAACGACTCGTGAAGCCCTCGTATAGGAGGGACAGAACCTAACGGGCGGAACCTGAAGAAACTGCGAGCATGTCATCCCTCGCGGTGCAGTCGACACTTGGTCACTGTGGTGTGGATTGCGGGCTATTTTGGGCACACTCTTGGGGAGTCATGTGGACGAAGTGGACCCTTGTCTGGACACGCTCCTCCGGATGTAGAAGCTTTGTGTCCGAGTCGAAAGTCAGGGACAGAGCGCTTCGAGTAGAACGTTGCAAGAGCAGAGTCACCAAGTTGAACAAATGCCTACGACTTTAGACTCCCAGTGCAGAGCTCTACAAACAGATGGCGTCGAACGTGTGAGTTATTGTGTGTCAGGACTCCAGCCATAGTCTTCAAACTTCCATGACATGATAAGCGGGTTCAGGAATGAGACATAACCTGTGGGAGCTGATCCGCACAGCGACCCAGTAGCCGCTGGAGCAATGTCCCCTCACGGATCCAGGCACTGCTGGGTTTAGGTGAGTGATCCTGCGGACTCTTTAGCTGCGTGGCACGGATTCTAGGGCTTCTAGTGACTCTGGGCGCTGGAGCCCTTTGAACCTCTCTGATACGGCTTGCGATTCTTTTGCGCAGGCCTTGTCTGCACAAATCGCCGGAGCAAGTTCAAACACTGCACAGGTGAGGCAGCTATTGAGACCTTGAGCCAAACAACCTGGGTTTTGCAGCCTCATCGTGGGATTCATGGCCGTAGCAATGTTAGTTGCCTCGCTGCATCATCTCGTGCGGAGCTTGGGTACACCTCCAAGAAAAGCAATCTGTAGCAAGTCCAGTTCACGCTAACTCGAGAAGGAGAGTTGCCACGAGCCTGAAAAGAGTTGGCACTCTGTGCTGGATAACCTCAGCCACAGCACCAAGAGAAGTGTTAACAAGTGCTCCACAAGTCACGGGGCCTGTAATGCGTGCCATGCGGTGCTGTGACGCTGTGTGCCACACTTTGCCCAGCAAGCATCGGCATCCCATGGGCTGCGCTGTTGGCGCCATGTCACATTTCTGATGCACGTGACTTTGCTGAATCCTAATGCTGTGTGTTCCATGGATTCTAGACATTCTAGACTCTGGCTTGCCAGAATTGGTTGCTCGGTGGAACTGCGGTCACTTCCAGAATGCGCAGCTGTGAAGGGTAGCCTGGTAGCAACTGTTAGTAGGCCTCTGCCATGTCTGGGGTGCCACGTCAACGTCCAATATCCAGCTAAATGCAGTTCGCAGTCATTGAGGGCATGTGGCCAAGGACAACACTCACAAGGCTTGCTTAACTTGCCTCCAAGTGTGAGCAACTACTGGCTTGCAGCATGGGCACCCGCCGCCTCCTGTATCCCACGCAAGCCTTGGGCAGCTGACCCACGCCAGATTCATCCCGGCAGCATCACACATCCGACTGTATATATCATGGACAGAAGCCTCAAACTATCCCGAACTGGTACGCCGGTCTTGGGAAACTATCGTACAAGCCGATGCCAGCCAAATGACATCCGGCCCCCAGGTGATGGAGTGCCGCAGCCTCAAAAGCTGAGCCCACGGAATCCACTGTCGTGCTTGATAACGTTTAGCCAGCTTCGGCATAAATCTGCTATAAATGCTGAGTTTCTTGTTCCACATGTCTGTGAACCGGATTTCCTTCTCGCCTCCAGGTCGGAGAACGGGCGGATGTGAGCGGGCCCTGTGTGCACACACACATCAGTCGTGACGGCCGCTGGCGTCTTTTGTCAAGGCTAGCCTTGACTTGCGCACTGCTACATAAACTCCCTGCGCAAACCGCCCGTGCATGTGCCCGAGTTCTTGCTGTGCTTGCGATGTTCACTGCCATGTGAATGCCTGGGTCGTCCATGGAATCGGCTGACGAGCTAGCTGGAACCTGAGCAACTTGACTTGCAAGATCTTGCAAGCCCCTGCTGCAGACACGTCTGGGTAAGGTCCCCGCGCTGAAGATCAGTCGCGGCTGGCGCTTCCTGGCATGCAAGCAACAAGAAGGAACAATCTCAACAAACCCATACGAACCAACCGGCTAGATACTTCTGCTTGTGTCAACTTCGCACTCAGCATGGCAAGCCCCCTTCAACCTGACGATAGCCGCTGACACGCGCATTTCGGAGTTCCAGCAACAAGGCCTCATCCTGGAACGCCGTCGCTGTGCAGGGCTCGACTCCTGCAAGGATGAAGCGGATCCATGCGGATCCTCGAATCTTTGATGAAACCGTATAGGCTAGAAATATTGCCATCGTCTCACACTTGGTACAGTCCGGAGCGAGTTCGGCTGCCAGCCCCGAGCCAACGTCTGAGATGGCCTGCGGGTGTCTTGCAAGAATGCAACACAAATAGAACAACGAGCGGCTACATCTAGCAAGTTCAACTAGAAAGAACCAAACATAAGGCCAACCCGGAGCTACAGTAGCTGTTCCCCGCTCCCAGAAGCTAGTTGCAGAACAACATCTCCACTGAGATCTACCTGGGCCACCGTGACATGTGAATGAACTGCATGAATGCCTCAAACCAACATACAGTATATTGCAAAATCGAAGCCTTGGAGGCTAGACCCAGCTCTTCTGCATGGCAGAGTGCCACCCCCGCTGGTTATAAGAAGAGGGCTTTGCGATCACTACGGAGAGGGGTCGATCTGAGTCTTGAAGTGCTTTCTTCCCAATCCTGGAGGCCACGCGGAACACGGAAACACGCAAACTGCGGATTCGGGAATCAGGAATCACAAAGTCTTCTGAAAGCACTCTTGACATGAACGTTGTCAAGTTGTCATCCCCCGAAAAAATGTAAACGAATAAAATACTCCACCCCCTGTCGGGCACTTTCCTTAATCCCGTGAACCAGTTTCCTGAATCGGGAAATAGTTTCCTGAATCGTGCGCGCCCGCGCTTTTCTGAATCGCTCGTCGTTCTGTATACACGTGTATATGAATGTTCGTATTCGCATAACAAAAACAAATGTAAATCGAGAACTATGTCTATATATATATATATATACATACACAGAAGTGTGTATGCACATGAGCACATGTGTCGGCAGAACAGGTGCTGCAGTGGAAGAATAAGAAATTGCCTTCTCCCAACTCTCCCTCTCGCTGACATATGTCGTAGCAAAGTTTGTTAAGAAGGAGAACTTGTGTCGTCTGTTAGATGATGAACATCTCTGCGGCAACTCCCAAGAAAGAAGACGCAACTACGAGTCCTGGCCTGGCCAACCCGCGAGACAGGCTTCACGACGCTGCCAGCCATTCCGATCCCAACCTGGCGGGCGTATGATGAGGGTGACAGAACATGACCCGGGTTTTGCAGCCCGTGCTGGTTGTGGGCAAGTTGTGGGCACATGTGATATGCGAACACTGAGCTGGAAGCTCCCATCAGAAAGCCACCCAAACCGCTGCTCCGAGCCTTGAACGAAGCCAGAGCAAAAGGCCCAGGTCATCGTGCACATAGAAGGTCGAGAAAGCAGACCATATTACATCTGTGGTGCTTAGATTCTGGCACCCTGGACAGGTTTGGTAACCTCGGCATTGTGGTCTGATGCTGTCACCCAGATCGCAGGAGCATGCGCAAGCCAATTAGGTTCCAGCAACGTCCATAAAGCCCTCCACCTCACTTGCTATTCGGAACACAAGCAGAACAAAGCGGCCGTTGCAGTACATTCTGCATACGATCAGCAGAGTGGGTCAAAGCAGCAGGTCCTACGCGCCCCATGCTGCAGCCTTCTGCAGCCCAGCAACGCCTTGGGCGATGGACTTGCTGGCTTCCACAATGCCATCGCCCAACCTCGGGCTTCACAAAAGGGGTTCCAGTGAGGTCACGTGGTCAGTGTAAGATAGTGTAAGCCTCTGGCCCCCTAATTTGCTTTGTGCCCTGCTGCTGACGCTGTCGAGCAACAAAGTCCTCCACGACAGTGGCGAGCAAGGTCTGGCAAAGCATCTGTTGACACAACTCCTCGTCGAAGGTGAGCTTGTTCAGTAGTGCTGCGGCTTCGCCTGCCGCCAAACCTTGTACTGAGACGCCGACAGAAAACGTGGCTTCGAGCACAAAAGCTCATGCTCCCAGTTGATATGAGTCGGGTTCCATGTGTTTCTCGACCGAGAGCGCATTCGGAAGAAAGTCCAATAGATCATTCCTTTCAATACCTATAAACGGTCATGCACCAACACTATGCTTCGCAGCCTAAGATGTCGAGCGCGCGTAGTCCGCACTTGGCTCTCTCTCCCTCTCTCTCTATACAAATAAATAAGTAAATAAGTAAATAAATAAATAAATAAATAAATATATATATATATATAAATATATATATATATATATATCTATTATGAACATAAAAGGTTATAGTATCAATCAGCTCGGTCGTCGTTGAGAAGCTTGCCGAGTTCACACAGCGAGTCTGGGCGCCTTGCTCATGCCGTCTGTGACCTGGAGAAGGCTCAGAGCACAGCGTGGCTAGCGGCTGGCGTGCTTTTGCCGCTGAAACTGTCCTGCCAAGCTGCATAAGACACGGCAGTGCCCCCGAGCTTGAGAGGCACCCGTGGCCTAGCAAAAATGAAAAGAACTTTTGGTACCAGGATGCTTCTTTCCCGGGACACAGCGATTGCAAAGAACTAGGGGCGGCGCAGCTTCAACACGGAGCTCCGTCCAAGAACTGCTCCAACATTACGCAGAAGGTTCACCTCGTTACTAGGTTGGTTGGAGCTTCGAAAGCGGTTGCGCTTTAATGAGAGGGCCTGGCCGTGTACTCGGCAGCTAAGCATCCAAGAAAATCGTGCAAAGAACCACGGTACGGCGGCCTCAGGATTAAGTCAGAAACCTCCAGAGCTTGCACGGTATACAGGCGTTGGAGGACCTCCAATAGAGGTTGCCGAGGCCGGGGCAAGGACCGTTTTGGCAGTGAGAGTGACGCGCCATCCTGAAGCAATGTGGCATGCGCTCGCCGGCGCACACATGTTCTCCAGTCTGCTCGCAACTTGGGCCCAAGCAAGGTTGAATCTCTCACTGAAACTGAGGAGACGAATGGCTGCGCGTGCCTTGCCACAGCACAGTTCGTTTGTGAACTTGCGTCTGCGAGGCCAGAAGATTGATTGCGGTCTAAGCCCTCGGCGTAATTTGGCAAGAAGTGGACCTTGCAGATAATGCTTGTCAGAAGTGCGAGCAGCTTATGGGACTGTTGCGCCCACTGAGCGAGAAGCACTATCAAGTCGCATGGAACACCACACCTGCAACGCTTCTGCAAAATGTGCTGAGTGTGTTTGCTGAAAACATGCCGAAACACAAAATTTCCGACATTGAGATACCACCAGCACACAAGCTTGGTCATGGGTGGCAGATCGCGTGTGGAACTGAGGCTCGTGCAGTGACTGATATGCTTGAAATATGCAGAGCATCAATCTGTACCTCCCAAATCCTTCCAACATTCACTGGCATGGCACCTTCCAACATGGTGCCCTGAAGTTGCGGAGAGATTGAATGGTGGGAATGATGCTGCTCTGACTCACGTAGTGATTCACTCGTGGCTCTCAAACTCTCAAACTGCCCGCGCTCCCTACTTCGAAGCGGCAGCGGGGCACGACTCGAGGGCAGGTTGGCGACTTGGCATGGCACATCCCTCATTAAAAAGGAGTCTACAGTAGCCTGCATCATGCTGCGATATGCTGTGCCTGGCAATTCTCTTCGACGATTTCCCATCGGTGAAATAAGGCTCGGGCTACATAGCCTTCCACAATCGGCTTCCCAGCCAAACCTGGATTGCTGTTTTGCAGCCTGCCCTGTGTCCAGCATCTGCACTGGTGGGGGCACGGCCCAACATGTCCCGGAAGGTGGACTTTTCTCTTTGGCTTGGGATACCTGCGTGCCAGCTTCGTTGAGGTGTCTGGCTGTTAACTGACGTGTCGTGGAACCATGCCCCCCTTGGGTGCTGACGCGCTTGCGATGCCATACGGGCCTCAACTCCACTCGGGCTAAGAGAAATCTTCGATCCGTTGCGACCCTCATTCAGCGACCCACCAGCCGATCCAGCCATTGGTCATCCACCTGCACAGTGGCATCAAACCAGGGCAGCCAGTGCTGCCCATTCTCAAACTAATCTCAGCTACTGCCTTCCTCGATCTCAGGCTGCGACTGTTAGGTCTGTAGCGTCCAACGCGATCTCGGCATATGGTATTACCTGCACAATAAAGTGGAAGTCTTTTGGCCCATGGCTGCGTTAGGAAACTCACTCTCTGCAGTTGCGCTGCAGCATGAGTCTCTCTTTTTCACTTCAGTCCACTTCCATGAGTGAAGCATGGCGCGCGATTGGCCAGCTTTGGCGTCGGTCGCAGTGTGCCTGGCCGGTGGTTGGTATGCATGCTCATGATTTTCATTTGGTGGGGCTTGGATAGGGATGCTGGGGTCGGCTGCCTCTCCCGGTGGTGGGGTGAGCAGTCGCTTACTTAGGCACCACAACAGCCATGTAAGGACAACTGTGAACACCGCTTTGCTTGCTGATGGGTAGCTGGATGACACTGAATTTCGGTTCCAATTTTCACTTAACATCAATTTCAATACCCGCCCGGAGGGGCGGCCGTGTCGGCGAAGGATATCAACCAAAGTCGATTTTAAGGCCTAACAGGGTGTCCCAGTCAGGCACGATATTAAATTCGATGTGTTTTTCATGTGGACAGCGTCTCCGACCTAGGGGTATTAACATCGATTTGAACACTTTTCGCTTGAGGGGCCGGTTCCGCACCGGGTAAGGGTTTCGGGCTCAGGCCTCGAACTTTCCAGGACTCCTTGGGTTCAGGGTTCAGGGCTTTGGGTTCAGGTCTGTGAACTTTGCAGTGGGGCTCGGCAGCCCCGTTTAGGGTTGAGGGTTTAGGTTTGTACACGCCCTTAACCCTGCACAACCCCTAACAGCCATGTCCTGCCTGCATTATACTTTCGGGTTAAGGTTTAGGGTTTTTAGGGTCAAGGTTTGGGGTTCAGGGGTTTAGGGTTTTAGGCTTTCTTATTCTACCCTTTGCAATGGGGCTCGGCAGCACTCCCTGTTTTAGTGTTGAGGGTTTAGGTCTGTGCACCCTTAACCCTGCACAATCCCTAACAGCCGTGTCCTGCATGAACTCGGAGAGGGGTTTGGGTTGAGGTTTGGTTTAGGGGTTTAGGGCTTAGGGTTTCGACTCTCACACTCGCACAAGACCAGCAAGGCATCGGTTGGTACGTTAGCAGCCATCTGTGACACGAACGAAGCCCCTTTCGACAACATTCCCAAGTGACAATGACGGCAGGTCCAACCCCCCTAAGGTTAAGATCACACCCAACACACATCTTGACCCACACGTCATTCACAATGGGGTTTAGTACCGTTTGCAATGGGGTTCGGCAGCACTCCCGCCGGCAAAGGTTCGGGAAAATCTTCTGCTCAACCCTGCCCATTCCCCCTCCCTCCCCTCACCCCTGCCCCCCCTCCCTCCCCTCCCTCCCACCCCCCCTCACCCCCCCCCCCTCCACCCCACATCCCCAAATCAATTGAAATCGATTTCACTATTTTCTGCAAAATGAGCTTAAGGATTTTGAATACTTTCATGATGGGAAGCAATTAACATCGATTTTAATACTCTCTGGAAAGGTCCAGAGAGCAAAATGAATTAACATCGATGTGAATACTCTTTGGAGGAGCAATCGATGTCAAGTGTTTAAGCGTTAAACTCTGGACCAGGGACTTAAAATCAATCTTAAGTCATCTCCAAGGCAAAACTCAAGATTGTATTTAAATCGATTTCAATTGACAAAACCTGCAAGCACGTACTTAAATCCGTTCTAATATGAAATTGAAATCGGATTCCAGACTCCATCTGGTTAGCGGTTGCTACTGCCTGCTGCTTGCGGATGGTAGCCAAGTCTCATAAATAAAGAACCACTTACCCGCGCAGTTCCATCACAATCATCTCCAACATCTGGAGCAAGGTACCTGCACGATCTTCACTCTCCTGGAAAGGACAGCTCGAACCTGCCATCAAGCGACAGCAACCGAAGCATCTTACTCTTCATCTGCTCGCCAGATGAGCCATCTAGGTACACGCGTACATTAGGGAGAGCTCTGCAGCGCACCTTCGCGAAGGGCCTTGCTTGAAGAGCATCCTTCTGCTTGGCAAGGGCCACCTTGCTTCACGCGGACGTCAAGGCTCTTCCGGACTGCCCTATTCTGTCATATTCTTTCCTGGAAGCCCCCACAGTCTGAGCAGAGACACTTGATCCACTGGCTCGTGACCAGGTGGTGCCCCTAACCAATTCCTTGGCAACACAAGTCGAGGCCGGCACAACTAGAACAACGGCCACATAGCAAGAAACAGCTGGACAAGTGTACCTGCTTGTGCCGCCTATCTTCTCAGGGTCACCGAACCAGCGCCAACCCCCACGCGGCACCGGCGGACGCGGGCTCCCGGCTGAAGAGATGTGTCTGCACAGGGCTCGTACTCTTGGAATCTTTTTTGCGTCCCGGGTACATCTTGGGAAGAATGAGGCGGCATATGGCGGCATAAGGCCGCGACATGATTGGCGTCTGCTTTTGGTGCACATCATAGGTATCCCCCGTGCACCTTACACTGAGGTGAATGACAATCTTCGAATGAGCCAAAGAGCCAAAGAGCCAGGGGACGGCTCCATGCCATTGGCTCACAACTCTTGTGGGCTTGGATGGCCACATCTGGCTACCAAGTTTGCCATCCTCATACAAAGCAGTAAAACTAACGATTCTTACATATATATATATATACACACGTATAATATATGTACATACGCATATTTTGGTTAGTTTATTCTTATCGTTGTACCCGGGCAAGCCGCCCACAGGCTGCCGCAACCGGGGCTGTCGACATGCCTCAGCGGCATCTCGTGGTCTCCCAACAGGCAAACCGCTCATCACATGGCCAGACGTACATGGCCATGAAAGCTCCCTCAACCGCATCGCTCTGTAGTGTCATGAAGGTCTCGTGGTTTCCGATCTCCAATTCGGGCTGGGTTCAGACCAGGTTGTGACCAGCTGGCACCAGCACAGCTTGACCTTGCAAAGCTGATACTCCGATGTGTTTGTATAGCGGCATAGCGAGTACCAAAGAGTCGCTCTTTTCCTTGCTTTCGGTTGCAGGCAGGCCTGCTTGAATCGTTCTCGCGCAGGTGGAGGTTGTGGCTGCCCCACTGAGAACCCAGAAGAGAAGCTGCGTGCCTTGTGCAGGCAGCTACGTGCAGTCCAACAGCAAGACAAGATCACAAAGGTGTCTGGATGCAATTGGTTGTGGTGTTTCTGTTCCAATAAAGTCTTCCCTCTCGGCCTGCTGCCTCGATTTGGATCTTCACACCTGTGCAATGTACATGGGTTGCGGGAGGTTCTGGGGTTGCCAGCTGACAGAAGCAGTGACTCAACAGCTTGTCGCGCCTGGCGGGAAGAGATGCAGATGAGCATCCCTGAGCTGCGGCTGTCCCTGTACCACATTGCTGCCCCACGGCAGATCGCAACCTGAGCTGGGCCATGATTTCCATGACGTGCTTGATGCAGGACGTTGCGAGCGTGATACAGCGTGATGCCCGTGCTGTGAATGTGAAGACTGAACTTGTGCACACTGCTTTCTATGATTTGGCAAGGACGCTGCAGCACCACAACTGCAAAGGATCAAGCTGCCCCAGAAAGGGATGGCATGGAGGTGGCATGCCCCGCACGTAATCACACATTTGCCACAGGGCGGCCGGACAACCTCGGGAAACTTTGTGCTTACACGTGTATTCCGGTGGGCCAAGTAGGGAGCAACATGTGCATAGCAGTGCGAATTCAGCTGCGTGGCTTTGGGCGCCCGGGCCCGCATGCACGGGCTTGGCTGCAACCCTTGCGTGAGACGCACAGACGAAGCACTCAAAAGTAGCTTTAAGGCCCTCGTGCTTCATGGGGGGGTGAACTTTTGGCTGGGAGGTGCTGGTCCAAGAGTCATTTTGCTGCCCCATTCCGTCCGAAGGTGTGGAATGGAGAGGGCGGCAGGGGTATGCATGTCAATCATCTCGAAATTGTGTGTACCTGCAGATCCAGCTGCAGGACAGACAGCACACAGGGCGGTCCCCACGTCAAGCATCATTTCGATTAGATTGATGGGGGATGATGGGGTCTAGTGAGCAGTCATGATAGAGGGCTTGCAGAAAGTATGGCTGCAGCAACGGTGCCTTGCACAGGCAGTGCGGCATCATGGTCACATCTCGGCCACCCGAGAGCACAAGGCCCTGCAGCTTCAGCTAACGCCAGAAGAGAGGCCTGCCAGAGTGGTCCGGAAAGCTTCTGTGGCTGGCTGCCCAAATCGCTTTGGAAGAAGAAGTTCCGCAGCATGCCACTTCGGCATATCTTCCTGCGCAGAATCAAAGCCGACAGCGGCCAGACGTCTTAGATCTGCTTTGATCTGCTCCTACAGAGCGCGAGCTTCGCTGTGAAGCCGCAGAGGTGCAGAACGAAGTGCACGTGAAGAGGGTTGGCAAACTGCAAAGAGGCCTCGGCTCAGCAAGATTTGATTTCGTGCGCGTGCGCGCAGACAATCTCTTAGCCGAGCAGCGGCATCCCAGATCCCAAGGTGGGGAGTCTCCTTCAATTGCGGCCCACCCATCCAGCTGAACCACGGGCCTCTTGAGGGCAAGCGAGTTGTCATTGCACCAAGCACCTGACGGTAAGCGGATGTGAAATATATGTGCGTCTGTTCGGCATTCCAAGGCATGGAAGAAAGTGGGCGCCCCGCCTGAGGTACGAACTCTTTTCGGCGAGCAAGTTCTTGACAGACGCCACTTTGATCCCAGAACGGAGCCTTCAACTCGCAGAATTGCACTCAAGCTCTCACATCTAACCTCTGCGCACCTGGCCTCATGAAAACGAGTGTGAGAACCGATCCACACATCATCCCAAAAGCTGCTGAGCCATTCTGAGTCGGTTCGAGCAAAAAGAACTCCTGCAGCACTTGTTGGAGTCTTGGGAGTACCTTTGCTGCCTTCGCCCTGGGTTGCGCAGATGCAGAAGCCCAATGCGTCCTGTGTTCACGCAGTCGGCCCAAGACATGTCTTCAGCCAGCACCAAGGCCTTCCTGCAAGTCAGTGACTCAAGGGGCCCTAATCGCCCTAATCTCACGTTCCCGGCAGTTCCCGGCTCTCATCACGCATCATGAAAGAGAGAAGCTCGCTCCTCTGAAATCTGCCAGCAACAAAAGCACGAAGCTGCTGCGCATGGTCCAAAACCATGGCATCGCCATCTATCCACACCTTGTAGTTCATTCTCAGTTGCGTTGATAGTAGCTTGCTGCAGCTCTTGCGCGTGCTCTCTTCAGCCAAGGGTCTATGTACTCTACTGTGTTGAGCAGAGCACGCCGTGCCTGGCTTTCAGCATTGTGCTAGAAGACTAACAAATACCCTATACTTCCAGGGATCTCACAAGTAGGGTACAAGAACCCTTAAGGACACTAGACGTATAGGGATAAGGGGTAAGAGAACTCACCCAGATCCATGCACCGGCTGCCGTGCAAGCTACCTCTTCGCCACCAATCCAGCTTCCGAATATCTGCTGGGCGCCAGGAGCGCTGCGGTCTGGGCTGAAGAGATATCTCAGCAATGCCTTCGATGGCACGACAAAGGTGTCATCTGCGGGGGAAGAACTTGGAAGGCGCTGTCTAGCTGGCTTAGCTTCTCCGGTGACTCAGGCGCTTTAGGATCTTGGGCTTGAGCGCCCCTTCGCAATACCTGCGGGTCATCATGTTATGCCTAGCACGTCTTGGCGGCCAACGCGAGCATGAGACCGTTTTCGTTTGTGCTGTGGGATAACCGCCATATCAACTTGACGTGAGCGCCAGAATTGAATTTCACACGCGCTGGAACCTTCTGATGCGTGAAGTCTTTGTTTGGAACTGTTGTATAAACGACATACTACGAATTCATGTATTCATATAAGGAAGCGGCAGGCCAACATCTGTCCATTGTCTTGGTTACTTGAAGCAGCCAATCTTAAAAGTCTTAGTGAAACGCCGATATAGTTCGCTGGTGTGGGAATGAAGCCACGAAGGGGATTGAAGCAACTTGGGACTAAGCTCCATAAGCACCACGGCTGCGCGAACATGTGTGAACAACGAGCCTTATTCGCATTATTCGTTTATTCCCGAGTGCCGGAGACGTGCGGAGTTTGTAGGACATGGAGAGCATGCTACTCAGCACTACGGTTGACCAAACAAGTCAGCCTTCACTTGTCGTATCCTATAGGGTCATGGGCGGTGCTGCGGGCTGGGGGTTGAGCGGGAGAAGGCAGACTTTCATGATTTCCACCACAGGGTCCAGAGAAAAGGTCTGGGTTCAAAAGAACTATCTGAAATGATTCGGGGAAACCTATTCATCCGAGCACCTGTTTCTGGCCCCCCCCCCCTTTTTCTCCGCCACAATAAGAAAGGCAGGGTTCCGCAATAATAAGTCCATGGCCCTGTATTGATTCTCCACAAAAAGCAACAGGCTGCAGATCCCTGAGGTGCTGCAGCCTTGCAGCTCAGCAAGCAAAACAAGAAGCCTGCCGACAGATTTTGGGAACCGCCCGAAAACATTTTCCTTGAATGTGGTGGTATTGGCCCATACGAAAACCACCGTATGGAAAGTGGTCTTCCGACGGGCTTCTCGACAACAATATTCTGAAATGTGGAGGTATTAATGAAACAGGTGCTCGGATTCTGCACAGCTTTTGCAGTCGGGGAGCTATCTTCGCCCACGCGAAGTGACGTCCCTCGCACACCGTCTGCATCTCTTCGCGTGACAGCACGCAGGGCAAGAATCTGTGTCCCCATCGTCTGCAGTATTGATCGTTTACAGCTGCCTGAGAGGTAGGTGCTTATGCTGCATGGACAAAGCAGCCGCCCCCTTCTAAGTTGCATCTGTTGCATGCAAAACTTCAACTTTGCTCCACAGCCACAATGGCATTCTGGGTCTTGCTGCCCTGAGACATGGCAATTTCCAACCTTGCCTGCGTGCTGCAGCTCAGGAACGCACTGGAAACCAACTTCGTAGTCTGTGTCGAAGTTTGTGATGACCGCGAAGCGAATGCGGTCGTCCGCCATGCGCCATAAACATTGACATGGGTGCTACAGGCAGTCTTTTTTCGGACAGACAGACCACTCGTCGTGATTGCAGGGTGCACATGCGGGACGGTTTCCGATATGACAGCCCCAAACCTAAGGGAAATCAAACTGCTCGTGGTAGCATTCATGGAGGATCGTGGCCTAGTCCGGAGAGCCGAAAGACAGGAAATAGAAGAATGGCACAATCGGACTTGTCATTGCGACGAGTTCTACTTGGCCAATCATCGCAAATGGTGATGCAACCGCTTGCTCTGACACAAGGTGGCACACGCATGCGGGGGGGCGTGCCAAGTCCTTCGTAGAAGTTGTGTCCTGCTGCACGCACAGACCTTGGACAGTTGTCGTTGTGGCTGCGTTGGTTTATAGAGCGAGCGCGGCTTCCGAAGCCAGTCAATCAATGATTTCCTGTGCCGAACTCGCTGTACTTGTTCAGCTTATGTCAAGTACTGGCGACATCTGCCAGCTCTTCTGAAGCTGTGAAACTTGTCGAAGTCAATTGGAAATCATTCGTTGTGCAGCTCACAGGTGACTGTGTGGATCTGCGTGGGGGAGCTCCTGCAGCTCGCAGAACGTCGCAACCTAGACTGTGACAGGCTGTCCACATGTTCCTTGTACTTGCTTTTGTAGGGTCTCCGGTCTCCGGGGATAAATTTTGCGTGTGTAGGAGTGTACCAGTAAGATGTTCGCGCGGCAGGCAGGTCATATGGCCCAGCAGCCGTTGTAGCTGGGAAACATGTCCATAGAGGGAGGGAGCCCTGACTATTGATGGTCCAACCGAATTGTATACAACTAGACTTTACCTGCTTTTAACCCTGGAATCAAGTCGGTCCTCGTGCGATTCTTGCAGCTGGGCGTCCTGGGCCACATACTAGTTTCTGCTGTGACTGTGAAGTTCAGGCAGTCACCCTGAGAGTCCAACCATGTCATACCCTTTGTGTTTAGATTAGACGATGTCTGGGAGATGCCCGTCTCTGAACACAGCATAACACAGCGTTGTGCCGAAAACGGGACTGGACAAGACACGGTCGTACATCGCTCAGGAAACGCGAAACAAACACAAACCCGGCACATACTTCCAGAGGTTGGGAGTTGTCGAACGTTGCGAAAACTTTCATCACAGGTTTCGGAGGGGCACTTGCAGCACAAACCCCAGCCTTCTGAGCACGCATGTGCACATAGTTCCATATGCTCAAAGAGCCTCAGGGTAAGCTCTCACACTCCACGGCGGCCAGGTGAGTTGCTCAGCTGAGTCAGCGTCCTTGGTGTCGATGATTTCCGCTACAAGCATCGGTTCCTGCACTTCCTCGGCAGAAATCTTGCAGGTGGCTACCGTCAAGTGGGAGGTTCGGGAGTTTGGGGCTTCAAGACGGTTTCGAATTTGGTGCTGTCAGATTATGGCATCACGCGCCATGTCAGTGTGTAACAGCACAACAAGGACGAGGACAACTGCATTTCTGTTCCTACACCCCGCCTGTCCACAGTTCAGGTCTTTGGCGAAGAGTTCGTTGCCGGCAGCAGGTTGATAGCTCGCAAAGCAGGCAGTCAAACCAGCCTGAGTACATTGTGCTACTTCGCGCTGGGGTCGTGTGTAATCGTGGAGCTGCTGCGAGCTGCCGTGGGCACAGTCCAGCTTCGAATCGGGGTCGTCTGCTTTGGCCAGCTAAGGCGCACGCCGTGATTTCTTGAGCAACACAACCGGCCTGCTAGCAAGAGGGCAGCAGGAAGCTCAAACTTTGTCACTTTGAGATCCGGGGGCGAGGCCTTGATGCAGGCGCAGCTATCATTTGGCTCTACGTTGGAGCAGACTTTGAGTAAATCCTGCTCGCAGACAAGCAAGTTCTGCGACATGATGCCATGTTGATCTCGACACTGCGATCTTCTTTCACTTCAGTCCTCATGCTGCTGCCACGAAGCGCATGAGGTCCAGAACTCTCGGTCACCTTCAGGCATAACTAGATCGCAAGTCTCGTCCGAGCATCTACGTCAGTGTGCTGACGGATGTCGAGCCTTGAGCCGCGTCCAGACAATCCTGTTTTGAGCAACAACTGTCCCCAAACCTTGGTTTTTGCAGTGAAGCGGAGTCCAGCCGCAGGGACACGGGTACGGAACTCAAGGTGAAAACGCGGCACCACTAGCGCAGCATAGTGCGTCGAGGACGAGGACATGTTCTGACAACCATATTTTGGGTCATGGCGCCAGCCATAGCATCCGGAGGCGCCAAGGCAGGACTCGCAAGTAGCGATTCCCCCACACTCGTCCGCTGCTCCAAGCAGCCACCGTGGAACAATCACGAATGCGGCAAGCTTGCGCAACATGGCAGACGTCAAGGCTGTAATTAGTCCAAGGGCTGCTTTTGAGCCAGACCTGTTGATGAAAAAACAGCGCAGCAATTTCGGCACACTGGCACATGGCATCGAAAAGACTATGACTTGGAGATCCCTGAAGCACTACTGGCAGCTGCCGGCTCCTGGCTCGGAGTGCGCATGAACTGTCACCCCGATGTGTCACGGCTCGTCTGGGACTTAGTGCGCGGCTTAGGAGTGCTCGGCCTGATAGAGAGGCGGAAACCGAACTCCCCTTTGTGGTACCTTTTTTGTGACCCAGGATGAACACAAAACCCCAGATCCACACGCCTTCGTTGCTTCGACCAGCAAAGATCACTGCCTGACTCAGACTAAAAGAGATTACAAGAGGGAGCAAAACTCTGGAATCCAACTCTCTGCCGCCCAGTTGCGGGAGGTGAACTTCGCAGAACGCCAAGGCTGCTGTCACGGCCTTTTTCCACCAGTCGATAGCGATCAAGATTCCAGAGAACCCCAGACTTTGGCGGTTAACTTGGCAGCGCACGGACGTCTCGACCTGAAGAAGCGCAAGAGTGAGCGTTCAACAGTCGATGAGCAGAAACATGTACGTCAACGTGCCGTGTGGCTGTCAAAAAGTAACACAACCTGCACTGGGACTCTCCAAGCAGGGTGAAGCAAAGGCCAACGAACGACTTCATGAGCCGGCGTTCCGGCCTCCGTCAATGCGACCCGGGAGTTGGCAGTCCACCTCCGGTTTAGAAGCGATCGGCATGCCGAAGCCATGTAGCTAACATTCTGGTGCAGACGGGATTGGCTTCGCCGAGATTCATACTGACGTCATGTAGTATAGTTGCCTGTGCTGAGGCGATGGAAAGGCGCAGCTGCCGCGGCTCTCTTGAGCCTGCCATGGGACTCAACCAATCTTTCTGCCATCCTTAGCCGTACTTCCACTGCCACTCCTGGACCGCAGCCTTGTCGCAGGTCGATCCGAATCAAGTCCAACTGCAGGTACAAGAGCCTCGGTGTGACCCCAGTGTCAATGTGCGCTGAGTCGCTATAAACGGTGAGCTTCCAAACACCAGCACCTCGACGCTCTTGGCATCACTTCCTACTCCATGAGTCCTTGATCACGTGCAAACTTCCTCGTTGCTACCTGCGACATTTAGCTTGCTTTTGACGCGCAAGAAGTTGTCCTTTGCTTGGGCCTGTTTTCTTGAGGAGCCCTCTCTCATGCTCGGCTTGATTGAGTAGTCTATCGTGGTCTTCTCCCACGTGTTCCATGAGAACATTGACTGTCAGGCGGGAGGAAACTCGATTGATTCGACACATAACGAAATGTCACCGTAGGCATGGGTGTGCCCCTGATGACCCTCCCCTTCAGTTCCAGAGCGAAAATGTTGACATCATGCCACTGGCAGAGTCTTCTTCCAACGGCAGCGGAGCGTTACAATAAGGGTCAGGCTCTTCAGGATCGATCCCACCTTCGATAAAAGAGAGACCTGCAGCAAGAAACATCGACAAAAACATTGGGGCAGCAGGCGAACCACGCAAACGGCAGCCTCTTTTGCTGGGTGCTGAGGGCTGCTCCAATCCGGCTTAGTTTTACCTCCACCTGCCACTTGCTGATACAATGAGCGCGTAGGAACATGACTGATCAGAAGCTCTTCATCACCGTGCTAGCGTGAGCGCTTACGCGGGTCCCACTCAGACGGCGACGTGCTGACACCATGGGGCGGTTGCGACCTTTGCAAAGGCTTTTTTCATTGGTGGAGCCTGGAAGGCATCCCAAAATGTTGAATTCTCATCCAAGCGACCGAGGAGGCCGCCATGTCGGAAGAGCCTGATCCACAGGATTGAGGAAACACAGGAAGAATCCACATGCAAACTGCCCATGCTATGCCAGTTTGCCTTCTCCGTCCAGCAAAGTGAGAACCTCAAGGCTTCGTTACCATGGTCTGCCGAGTCAAGCGGGGGCCAGACTCGCACCCAGGCACTTTCTCAAGGATTCGACCGTCTTGGCGTGAGAACGAACGATGCACACAGCCAACCCTCAGTGCACGGGATGGGAGCGCTTCGGCACACACAGCACAGACAAGGCAGCCAAATCTTGGCATTGCATTCGGTTGTGCTGCTGTTTCCGCTTGTGGCGGTTCTTGCGGGCGTGATTGCAGGACTTGCACTATGCTGCTTAACCCTTCGGAATAGCACATGCCTTTCTTATTGCTCTCATTTCATCGGGCGATGCACGCTGTTCAGGATCTGAGAAGCAGTCCATCAGCTCCAGGTAGTGGCTGGTGGAGGGTTCGCCTCACATCATCGATGCGATGCCTCACCAGGTGGCCAGTTCGCTGTCCTACACTGCCTCTTCAAGTTTGAGGGTCTCACCTGCCTCAGACCATTCACCACCACGTCCACAGCTAGTGGAGATGCTTTTTCCCGTCCAGCGAACTCCAATGGCATGGGTTCTCGCCAGCCGTACCTACCAGCAATTATTGGCACATGGAACACCATGGGTGCCAAGGTTGCAACAAACAGCATTGTTTGAAATCGTGCTTCTTTGATCCTCGTTGCATCTTCTCATGTACCCGTCGATGACGTGATTTGGAAGTATGACCCAAGATCTCCCAAACTTGTATCTCTGAATCTCTTTTTTCCCCGTGGTCACCCTTTACTTTTTGCAACCAGGTCTCTGCAGCCAGCCGGGGTCACCCTTTACTAAACCACGATACCGCTTAGGCTTTCATGATTTGTAACCCGCAAGTTGAAACGTGCACTACTTAACCCCTGGAGCCCGGTGCATGTGCCACACTTTTCTTTCTAACTAAGAGTTCTGCTTCGCCGGCACTTCGCTGAAGATCATGCTCAGCACCACCACGGCCGCACCCAGCCATTCCCGCAGCGAGGGCCACGGATCTCCCATCAGAATGCCGAAGCCCAGATTCAGGACAACGGTGAGGAAGAAATACTTCGCTGCACTGACCATGGGATTTTGCAGGACTCGCGTCAAAGCAAGCTGCGCCACTTGCATTGACAACGCAGTGACCAAGATCCAGAGCAGCTCAACTCGATTGGGGCATAGGAATCCTTGGTGTTTCGCAGTTTCCGAATTTGCTTGACACTGTGCTAGCATTGTGTGCTGCCGTATGTATGCTGCCACATCGATGGCACTTAAGTTGCTCAATGCTTCCGCGTGCCAGCTCAACTTGAACCTACAGCGACCTACAGGCTCAATGACTATAGCTGTGCGCGGGATGCTCTGTGATTGCATCTTGGACTCCAGAAGTGCAGCGATCTTAAAGGCTGACGTCAAATCCCTTCCAGGTGCAACGCAAGCCGAGGTGCCCTGTGGCAAACCCAGCGCCAGGGACCCGCATAAGTTGCCCCAGTGGAAGGCTTCTCTGGCATGGTGGGCCTCTTCACCCAACACGGCTAGCGTGCGCACGCACAGCAGCGCCGCGGCGGTGAAGAATGCCGCGGACACGCAGCACACGTAGCCATAGGTGCTGTTGTTGGCCGCAGAAAGCAGCTCCTGCTGAGACCAGGCGCTAACCTCCCTCTGCTATACCCTAGTTGCAATCTATTGGTCATCGAAGGTAGCGCAAGTCACGTCCTCTGCACGGGGTACGAGCAGAGCCGTGCCGCATGCAGCCGCCAGAAGTGCAAGTAGCTGCTTTGGCTTTACCGGCTCGCCAAGGATCAAGCCGGCGAGCGCAGTGGAGAGCAACGGATGCAGCCTGGCAGCAGAGGACAGATTCACGACGGACTGCAGCTCACGCAACTAAGGCGTGCACAGCTCCCCAAAAGCCAAACGCCCTGCAAGGTGCCCACGTTTCCCGAGATTCCTTCCTTCTGTGTCCCGCATGATTCCTCAAGCTAGGCTTGCTTTGCTGAATGTATCTGAATGTTTCATGACATGATGCAGGCAATGCAGGCTATAAGGTCAAATGCCTGCTCAGGCAGCATTTCGTTGAACGTGGCCGGCAAGGGCCACAAAAGTGCTGGCTCGGATTGTTCTCCGCCCTTGTCCAGTTCTGAGTCTTGGCCTTGCACCTGTCCTATATGCCTCCCCAAGCCCACCCCACCCGCGGCCACACTCAATTGTCCCAGCTCGAGTTGATGCAAGACGAAGAACTTGCAAGCCGAACAACACAACTAGTAGACGCATGCAGCGATGCGGTGGAGTGATCACATCGGTGCATGTAGGCAGGCATTTCAGGGTTAACAGACCCCAGGACCTGGACCCACAAAAGACCACCAGCCTCAAGGCTAAGATGGCCATCCCTTTGCTCCAGCCTGGAGATGAGAGTCAAAGTGGCAAGTGGGACCCGCGCAATGGATTCATAGTACGACCAAACCTTCAGTTGCAATGTCCAGTCAACAACAACAGACGCTGCACAGCCGCATAGCTCGGAACATGGCGCATGTAGTAAACTGCCACTATATGCCATCGCGCCATTTGCAGCAAAGGTGCCGCAATGAAGCCTAGTGCCCCTCTCAAGAGCAACAGGCCACGATACCGTGAGCGCACTGGAGGCCACGGCACCTCACCTCTTGAGTCAATTGAGTCCCGGATGAGGTGAGGCAAGACAATTTAGCACCCATTATCACCCGATGCACGGCTCCGTCCGCCTGCGATTGGCGCCATTGCAATGCAGAAGCAGCTTCGGAGGAAAATCCGCTCATAGCTGGACAATCGTGTCCCCGTAGCTTTTGTAGCCTCTGGCAATTCAATTGCCCAGCACACTGAATCAAATGGTGTCTTCGGTTCTGCTGCCATGCCATTCTGCAACCAATGCCATCCAGGGTGCTGCTGCAAGTGCAGAAAAGCTCACTGCCATGCAGGCACCCGGCCATGCAATACCTGCCGTGCCTGGGCAACTGGCTTCATCCAGCAGATTGTTTCTACAGAAGAATGAATTAGTCTACCCGTGTGCCATCGCATGCCTCTTGCCATTGGGCATGTGCGCCTCCGGCATGCTTCGAGCCGGCCGAGCTTTTGCTTGATCTGCGTGAGGAGAGCAGCGGAGCGCTTGCCGACATGGCACCGTGAGCCGAATGAGCGAATTATGTTTCGTCCTTGCTGGTTCTGACTTCATTCCGTGGCTATGGCACGTGCGCACAGGCCTTGCGCCGAAACGTCAAAGCAGAAGCTTCCAGCTGCATACTCCGCTCAACGTCTCATGATTCTGCATGGTCAACGCTTGCATGGTTGCTTATAGCAAGGCTGCGCAAGGCACAAACATCAGCAAAGCACACAGCGACCAACTTGAAAAACCTCTGCCGATGTCTGCCGCAATGCTCTGACAGGTCACTCGGCGGCATGGCCTGGAGGCACCACCTCATGAATCGGAAGAAACTCGATTCTGCCATATCATGAGCCGGCTCCAGGTTCACGTTGCAATTCTGCCAATGTGCCGCAGCGCTTTTTTGCAATCTGGAGAAACAAAGCGCAGCGCTTTGGCAAAACTTGTTGTTCTATTTCTCTCATCTCAGCTAGCTCCAGGCGACCGATGGAAGTGCACTAGTTTCCTGCAAGGCCGAGACCGGTCAATCTCAACATGCTGATCGGTCTGCTGCAAGAAGAACTTCAATTGTGACAAAAAGTCGATGCCTTTTGCATGCTGTGTGTTCGCTCGGAGCGTGGCAGGTGCTAGGAGCAGCACTCCCCTGTATCTCGTGCAAATAAGGCTCCACTGCTTCAGATTCTCAGAGAACTCCCAAACTCGCGTTTCCTGACTAGCACGAGCCGCCCGGGATCAGACCACCAACGATATCCACACACTTGAAGACGTAATGGTATACCTACTACCATTTACTATCAGGCGGCTTCGGTGATCAACGTGTTTGTGCCAGCTTGAACCAGTCGCTTGAAGCAAACCTCAGCTACACTTGCCTGGACCATGGACACGGACACCACATGGGAACACACGTGCAGGATCCCGCTGAAACAGAGACATACAGCCATCCGCTGAACTCAGATTGTAGAGGTCAGGAACAATGGCTGCCCGGCGTTGACACATCCAAGTGATGCTTGGTGCCGCAAGGCTTGGTCGTGACGGCGTCTTGTTGGGGTCCTGTGAGTGGTCGGAGGCCTATTGTGGCAACAGGCGGGGCTAGAATATGCTAGAATTTACTGTCAGCTCCACAAGCAATTCAACCCTTGGTTTCCAGATGCCTCAGTAATCCCAACTGTTTGACAAGCACGGACATTACCAGTGGCATTGGTGTAACCGGTGCCGCGATGTACATGAACACGTGTTGTTGGGGACATCCCCACCGCAGCTTCTCCTTGGGCATGTCAAAGTAATACTTGTGGAAATCGAGGCCCGTCCTTTGCAAGTGAGATCCCGTGCCCTCACACAAGACAAAGAAAAACATGCCGTATCAAGGCTGAAGTGGCTTTGCTGTGTGCGTACCTCCAAGTCAGCCGAGAATCACAAGGTGACCTTTGGCTTCGGGCTCGAAGCATGACAGCTTCTCGTCACAGGCAAGCTTGTAGACTTCGTAGTTCCCTGCGCGCACAAAACAGTGAGCAAAAGCCACGGTGCACACAACATCTCACTACATTCGCTACATTCGCTGCAACACAGTACCGACATTCCCGATCGGTTGTTTGATGCTGCGGATGGCAAAGGCTTGGCTTGGTGGGGATGCCTTCTCCAACCGCTTTCAAAAGCATGGCGTTGAGAGATATCATTTCGTCATCCTGTCGTCAGATTGAATGGAACAAAACACATGTCTTGCCATGGCATGCCGCCGAATAAGCAGGCGTTTTGGGCGTTGAGTTACTGCGTCCTGCAACTCTTGCTTGCGGAGCAGATCGTTTATAGGTTGCGACATCTGGAGCTCTACCAGGCCCTGCCCTTTTTCCTCTCCTTCCTAAACCTACTGATGCGACATGGGCTGCGGAGCGTCAACGGCTTCTCAAGGTGAAGATCATCTGATGCTATCGGCCATTTTGCCAAATCAGTTTTCAGGCCTTCCCTTCACGGCATCCTCAGTAACAGCAAACGCCCCCTCAATTTGCGGGGAAGTTCATTCAGCTGCTGCTTTGGCTGCTGATCGAAGTGAACTCCGATTCGGCGCTGCTGTCACTGCTAGAATCGCTCTCCCCACCTTGTCATTCACAGGGAGAAGTGCTTGAGACAAGTGTGCAAAGGCAATTTGGTTTCGGGGGGGTTCTCATTGAAGGCAAGGCCAGAAAGCTTCCGCATTGCTCGGGCTAAAGTTACCACTTTCAGCATGTCGAAGGCGAAGGAGTGCATGGAGCAAGCAAATCTCAAAAAGACCGGGGTGTCATTGCAGGAATACGTCAACGCGACGACGCACATTGTGAAGCTCTTCTGATGCCCAGCTGGCTGCGTCCCTCGTTACATTCTCTCACTCTTCTGTTACAAGCCCAAAGGTTGAGGGCCACCCAGTGCCATCCACGCCACCGGGGCTCAGCATGGTGAACCTTGAGGGCATCGGCTGAACAGCACATGTTCATTCCAATGCAGCCACTCACGACTGATTGATGGAGCATTCATATAAACTTCCCGAAGCAGCAAGGTTCTAGGCCATGGCTATACGAAACTTAAGCTGTGGCCGCCCTACCGATACTTAGCAGTTGTAAGAGCCCCCGACTGTATCCAATCGCTGGCCCGTGGGCAAAAGCAGTGGGTGCACTGGGCTTACAGTCGAGAAGCCTGTCCGTAGACAAACCGGCAATTCGCCGCATGATCTTTCTGACATCTGCGTTGAATGAGTCCATGCTTCCAAACGCAGTATGGATGATTGTGAGAATCTTGTCCTGCAGAATTCCGCGCACAGACTCCCCACAAGAAACAGCTGCGAACTCAACCGGTCTTGACATATGCCCCTCGCCGCCAAGGCTGCTGAAGCCTTGAAGAGTTGGGTACGCCTTGTGCCATTTAAGCTGTCAGACTGCAACGCAAACAGCTGTTGAATTTGTACTCTACCACAGCTAGGGGACCATTGGCTGCGCTATGTCTATGCCCAACTAGGACATATTCCGCTCGGAGCATCGGGCATTTGGACTGAGACATGCTCGGCACAGCTTGTACAATAAAGTTCGGCACGGCTAGCAGATCTGCTTAGCTTCTCGGCGCTGCTTTCGCGGTCGGCTAAAAAACAGGGCAGGAAAGGTCAGGCCACACGGGAAGGCAACCCTGCTTGATACCCGAAAACCAAAACCCGAAACCCCAAAACGGATTTCACGATGGGCAACGCATGGCAGCACACTTAAGGCCAAAAGAAGGGCCCTCGCTAATTTCGAGCATGCCTACAAGAGACTATACGGATCTTGAGATAACAATGAAGCACCCACAAAGTTTTTAGGCCCGACGTGGGTTCGCTCGTGCTGCCCCGGCTGTGGTCCTTGTCGGCCGACTCCGAGCAATCACATCGGCGAGCATCGAAGTTTTTGCCTGGACAGCAGGGATGGAGTTTGAAAAGAAGAGGCGGCAAACTCGATGCTATTGCTTCTGCTGCCCGCACTCAAGGCTATTCAAGATGACAGACTGAGGGCAGGCAGCCGGAGCTCACTGTGCAGCCGAAGTTGCAGTGGTTGCCGATAGCTTCGATGTCGTTTTGATCTTGTCCAACGGTCAAGATGCAGTCGATGTCACAAGGCTTGCCGCCCATGTGTACAAAAGTAAACAGCTCCAGTATGCACCAAAGTCCTTATCTCTTTCTCGCAATGAACTGGCCCCTTCTCGCTTAATTCAGAAATCGGTGCCTGCAGCATGCGTATGGGTGGTTCATGTATTGTAACCAAGTATCTGCTGAGGTAGGTTGTCCCGCAAAGTATCAAAAGACTTTTGCAGCCGGATAGGAAGATTGGCAAGCTGCGCAGATTGACTTCGATGTCCTGCTGATTGATGCCTTGCAGCGTGTCGGGGTTCAAAGGCGGACAGTCTCTCAGAGCTCTGCCTTGCACAGCATGGCATCTTAAGCTTCCAAATAAGAATTCTGAATTCTTCGAGTGTCAAGCTTTGTCCAACCAAATGCTCGGAGAGCGCCCAAAGCGAAATGTAAAGCTTCGCTTCCAGGACTGCAGCGCATCCCACTTGGCATCTGTGTCATCCCGCCAAGAGTGGGACACAAAAGCATCACAACTGCCCAACACCGATGGGCGTGAAAGCTGAAAAAGTTGTGGTGAAGGTTGATTGTCGCCTGGCAGCCACACGCCGCTTGAACATGTCTAGCAAGACCGGTGCAATTAACTACCAGCGCTGCGCTTGCATTCTGAGGTGAGCACTGATGTCATCTCTCTGGAGCGCGTCACAATCAATGACGCGAAAACGAGATTCCGCTTGTTTTAACGCTACGTTGACATCGCAGTCTCCAATCAAGCTGGCCTCAGTAGCATGCTGGTGTGGGCAGGCATCACGCAGCTTGGGCATGCTTGGGCCAATACCACACCAGCAGCAGCTGCTGTTCGCTCCGTCTCCTTGAAGTAGCGGTGGAGCGCAGCATGCAATCGATGGCGGAGCTCGGGAAAAAAGGATACCAGCCTCGGCTCAAAATCTGGTCATGCCACAGCCTGACGCAGTACCAGCACGTGGGCTGCTGCTGTCGACTCAAGGTTGCAACACGTTGCGCCCAGTTGCTCTCAGCTCTCTACTTCTTTGATAAAGAAAGCCAGGCGGCGCTCCAATGAAATCACCAACAATGAAAATGCTGGCCGTCGACATCTCATGCAGCCACAAGGCGTCTGCTGAGCACACAACAATGTCAACCTTAGCGTCGATCAGCAAGGTCTGTGACCTGACCTGAAGAACTCAGAAACATTCTTCACAGAAACAAGCACGTTCACTCGGAAGAAGATGCACCAGAATCGCCAGAAGCCTGAGATACGTGCACCCGCCAATGGTCTCTCGTGTTCTGCAACGAGGTGACATGATCAAGAAACTTGGAGCCTCGCTCCTTTGCACTTCGTTGCCGCTGCTAGGCATGTGGTTGGCAAACGATGGTAATTACACAAACTTAAGTATTAAGGTCCTGAGGCCAAGGTGCTAACTTGCATTCTGTCGGCACTCGGCTGTGAAGCAGTTCGCAAGAAAGCCAGGAACGCGAATAAGTTCCACAACACATTCCAGCCCTCGGCAAAATGTGGGAATGTATTCCATGAACGTCCAGAAAGCATCTCTGACGCCCCCAGAAAGCATTTTGATGACCCACAGTCACTTGGCCCCCCAGCGCCCACACACAAGAACCATATGCACTTGGCCCTGCTCGTCTCGCATAGCCCTTAGTGATGGCAGATGTACTACAAGGATCGGTCTACAGCCGAGACAATGCCAGCTGTAGCAAGACCTCTGCAGTCAGCAGTGCGCGCGCGCACGCACGCAGTAAGAACAGGCAAGGCACAACACTTCCTGCACTCCGCTTGCTCGTTACGCCACAGGTTTCTCGCTTCCTGAAGCAAGTGATGATTGTACCAATCTTTCTGACTCTGGGGCACTTCCTGCAAGCTTGCCAACTTGATGGGCAACTGCCAAGGCACAAGGGCCATGAACATCAAGCACAATATTGTTACGCCCGAGATGGATAATCGCGTCAGCTTCTTATCATCGGGCAAAGGGGCGGAGGCAAAGCATGCCTAAGTGCACTAAGTGCTCCAAGTGCACTTCGATTCGGCGCCAAGGTCTGTGAGAAAGAAGCGCACCACGCAAATTTGCACAATGGCTTCAGGCAGGATTCCATCCCAACAACACATACCGACCAGCCGATTGTAAGCGGCACTCGATGCGTGCGCTCTTCCGATTGGATGTCAGCCGCCAGCCTTGGTTGCACTTCCCGTTTGTTACAGCATATTGTATAAAGAGCATTCGATGATTGGATCATGTGTTGTTGCATTTAGGGTATTCTTATGTGATTCTATGACTATATTATGTCGTCATGTGAATGTGCCATTAGATTAATGTGATTTTATACTTTGAAATCCTTGGCTGCACTATGTCATTAAATATTTGCGTGAAGTCATGATGTATCTATGTGACACTATTCATTTACTATTCCTAAGATAAATACAAACATTATTTTATGATTATGCTATTCTATCATTTTATCACTAACCTGTAGGCTGAGTTCATGATACTATCACTTGTATATTAAACCGGTGGTTTACTACATTGTGACACATGCTTTCATATGATTGTGCTAGTGTTTTTTGTGTAGTTGCAATGTACAAGTTAATACTGGTGTTCGCTTGTTATAATATTATTGCACAAACATATATCATGTATATATATATATATATATAGATATTTATCTCTATGTGTGTATATTATTCTAGTACTGTGTGTGCGCGTTCTTTTACTCGTGTATGACAATCATATTGTATTCTCCTACCACGATATTATGAGATCATGATACCCCTAAGTTTGTTTACTTGCCGCATCATCACATTAGTGCTTTTGTCCTTTACAATGTTTTGAGAACCTTACTTATGCAAGAAGACTACCAGTGTACCCTTTACTATACATGAGCGACCGTCAAAACTCTAGAGGTCGGGCCTAGGTCGCGCAATAGGGGCGTCGCTTTTCAGTGTTCCCCGTCGCCTTACAAGGGTTTTTGCTGCAACCCGTCGCTTTACAGGGGTTTGTCAAACGGGCTACTCAAACTAAGGGGCGTCGCTTTTCAGTGTTCCCCGTCGCGTTACAAGGATTTTACACTTCAGCATGCAAATGTCCTACCAAGATAAAACCGCAATTACCATAGTTTTGACCCTTGCTCATAATATGTACATAGAGCCTAGGACCTATGCAGACAGTGTCATACTATGATCGTATTACCGTCTGCGAGTATTGTAGATATATAGTTTTGTATCCTTAGCTTTCATAGCATTCTTATGATGGTTAGTAGTATAGCAGTTTTCTGTTCTCGTATTTTACTATCATACTGCTCTATTGTTAGATGATTCGGTTCATTAAACCGTATTTGATCATTCTATCACTACAACAAGCATAATATCACTTTTGTCGATTCATGTGTTTACATTTTCAGTGTATTCAGTATGTTAGTGTAGAAGCGTAGCGATACTGGTAGCCGCGTAACAGCAGACCGTTCCTTTTCCTGCTTCGTGCATGGAAGGCACCATATCATGATAGAGATGGGCATGATAAGGCCAGTGATGACCATGGATCCACTGATCTGCCATCGTATCTTCCGCAACGCCTTCTGGCCGTGGGCGAGGCGCTCCAGCAGTAGCTCTTGGCGCCGTTGGCTGGTGGCTTTCCTCAGGGAGTGCCGGGCATCCTTCTAACAGATTCCAACAACTCTTTTGGTTCTGACTGCCACATGTCAAAGCCTGGCCTTTCTCGACTTCGGATTTTGATGCAGGCCAACATTCATCGGATTCACGCTGCTTATTGTTGTGTGCTACTGGTAGTTGGGGGCCCACCCTTCTTACAATGTTGCTTCAAGCTTGGCTGACTGCTGCTTGGTTCGTTGAGGCGTGTTCTTTGAGCCATCAAGCTGAGCACGCCCAAGACTTGCACGTGAATGCGGCCTGGGTGTTGCAGCAAAATCTGAGGCATGCTGATCAGCAGGATTGAGTGTGCTGCTATGCTGTGTTTGCAGCCTGCTGGTTGCACGAGCCTGAGCGACATTCAGCGATTCCACGCACTTCCAGGCCCTGTGCTGTTGGCGCTCCTTGTGCCCGCTACTGTAGGCTCGAGGCAATGTTGCTCGACTTTGGAGCGCCAAGTTCTGAGCAACATAGTCAGATCCTTGGCATGTCTGGGAAGGTGAGCTTCCCTCTGCAACCATCGGTAGGCGCTGCTTTCAAGCATCCTGCCTCCGACCCGTGCGACTTGGAAGGCATCCCGAGGCGTGAGGTGCTGAGGGCGGGTCCCCGTTTGAATGAAACCGCCAAAGCGCCGCCTGAGACATGCGACAGACAGCTTTCGAGCGAATGCTCTGTGCCGATGCCTGTTGAGCTTTTTGAGGATCTGGCGGTCGGGTGTAACTTCGACACTCCATATTTCCTGCTCCGCTGTCTCGTTCTTGCCATCTTCCTGGCAGTGATTAATTTAAGGACTACTAATCTCGACAATCCTACATGGATTTCGCTCCGTCGCGTGTCTTCTCCCAGCCTCACAAGGAATCGTAGGAATGGCAAATGCAGACCTTGGTTAGCGAAGCTCAAGAGAGGTCTTCTGCAGCATGCTGCGTGGGTTGCAGTATGTGCATTCATGGTGGCCCAATCCCCCGCATGAATGCCATCCGTTCTCTTACCTGATTCCGTAAACAAGGTAGATGCAAGCGTGAGCAGAAGCATACCACAAGCGACATACAAGTAGAACATCAAGTCGGGTTTGTAGTGCAAGGCTGACCCAAGTGAATGGGTTGGTGCTAGGCATTCACCGAGACGACTTCGGACCCAAATTAAATGGCAAGCCCGGCAAGCCAATACCTCAAGCGCTGCCTGGCATGGGCCTGAATTGATTCTGCCAGGGAGTCTGAAGTTGTATGGACGACCAGGCGACCACTGTCACTGGGAAAAATCAACGCAGAAGCGTGCCAGCAATACTAGAAGCTGTAGGCATAGCTAGGCACAATACTGCAAACCCTCGGGAACATTGGCACATTCCGGCTCGAGATGGGTTGAAACTGCAAAGCGAAAATGCAAACTCACACTAGGCTGTCGGCAAACTGGGCACCCCGCAACCCAGCCGAGGCGTCACTGCAAACTACGCTGCCGGACCAAGCTCCAGTCTGGCCATCCTCACAACTTCTACGCTGCACACGAGGGATCATGACAATAAACGCAGCAACTAATAAGAATAACAACAGGAAAGATATAGAGAGTGACCTTCTTGATGCAAGGCTGCAGAAGCATGCTCAAAGTGCCACAGCTGCAGCTGAGCAAATGGCCGGCTGCAGCGGTCGGAAGTGCAAGACCGCCGCCTGCCTCTCTAGTCTCTCTTTCTCGCATCTCACAAGCGAAAAGGGGGCCTACGATAATCAGGGACCCTCATATAGACCCCCCAGATAGTAGGATCCTCTGATAAATAAGGACCCCAATCAGGTACCCCCCCAATATCGAAAACACGCAAAAGCTTTGCGCGAACACCGAGGCAGCAACTCCGGGGACTCCTGGGCTTCGTGGCGCCAATGGACCTGTTTCAGGGAGAACTGCGGTGCGTTGAAGGCCGCAAGGGACGCGAAGGCGGCCCTGAGCAGACGCCTCTATCGACTGGTTGCCGGCAAGGCGTAGTCGTCGATGTTCATCAAGGGACCTGGGTTCGGGATTTCGTGCAGAGATGCCATGCAAAGCCGCGGCCACTTTCTAATAGCGAAGCGCTGTGCAGTGCTCACCAAGCCACAGTTCAATGTCCCGAGTGGACGCATTGGTCAACACAAAGCGGGGTCGCAAGGTCATGACCTGCCCAATCTATCCAATACTTGTCAGGAAAGAATACATGGGTACTTCCCAAAATCGGATCCCCCTAATAATGTACCCCAAAATACTATAATCCTTATTCTACGCCCCAAAAGGGCACCCCTAATTTCGGAAACCTCCACATGTTAATCAAACAAAGGAAGCTTGAGCCTGGCATCTGGCAAAGAGGTGCGTGTTCCCAGGCTCAAAATCCACGACGTCCGAGACCTCGAGGACATCACCAGAGCTCACCGAAAAACTCTAGGAAACAAGTCCCGCTGGCTTGTCATCCATGTGCCACACAAGGAGGCATTGTCATAGCTCATCAACATCCGAGCTTCCGGCTTGCAAACAGAAAGTGAAATCACCGCAAGGGGTTTCCCAAAACACGGTGGCCCAGCCTCCCCGCTGGCGCGATAGTGCACTGCATGCTGCATTGACTGAACAGAGGTATCGCATGGCATGAAAGATCAGCAGATACAGAGCACATGCCAGTTTAAAGCTGGTCTCATGTGCACGCAGTACGGCAGCAGTGCCAGCACACAACTTCCAGGGCATAGCTCTGCACAAATGCGCCAGCGGGACTTGTAGGAGAAGGAAGACCTCGGATTTCATAGGCACGCAGCTCGCGCAACTGGTAGCAGCATGTGCGACGGCTCAGTCTTGCATCCCTCGCTGATAACCTGGCAACCTGACCATGTTCAGTCCGCTGAGGGGATAGCCGAGAAGCGCCAACGAGTCATGGCCGCTTCCTCAGCCACTGCATGAGCCCTTTGTCACTGTAGCTAAATGGTATCTGATTACATGGCGCGGCCATAGTAATGCAAGCCGACATTCCCCTAGATCACATTCGGGACATCATGTCGAATCATGTCACATACGTGTGGGCGCAAAGATCCTGGATTTAAAGCTTGGCAGCAGGGCTGAAAGACCCAGAACATGCCTGAAACCATCACGAGGGCAGCAAGTGAAACTGTGCTGCTCCTTGCGGACCGAGTCAGCGCCAATGTCAAGAGTCGAGAACAGATTTTGCTGCAACTCTGCTACTGTCTTATGACCGCTGCAGCTTGTGCTGGTCAGTAGACCTGACATTGACATCTTTAGACAGGTGAGACGCCTCACAGACTCTACAGAAATTGTCGCAACCAGGCATTCGATCTCGTGCGCCTGCTCCAAGCAAGCACGTCGTGCCCTCCCTGCAGAAACATGTGCTCGGACATGTCGCTTACATTATGTTTGATGTCTTGCTCCAAGCTGCTGAGTAAAGGGAGATGTCAGCATCGAAGGCAGACTTTGGCCCCCCTTGGCTGCAGGAATTGGCATTCTGCGGACGACATCATAAGCATGAGTCAGACTTGAGATAAGAATCAGCCACTATCACCGCTGCACATCCTCAGCATCTCAGAGGCTGTTTCAGCAGTTGGGTATTACATGACACTGTGCGCCAAGTTTGATGGTAGACCTCACCACTCGAAATCTGCGGCACCAAGCACAAAAGCATTGCTTCCCTGAACATCAGCTTCCTGCAGCCCTAAACCGCTTCAATCGAAGGCAAGTTGCCTGCATGGCCCATGCGCAAGTCTCCAGCCCTTAGTCGCAGTGGACACTGCCCGGTGCATTGGACATGTTGCGGAGTTATTAGACTGTTGGAGTTGGGGTGGACCCTCGCAGCGTATGTTATGTGCTGAGATGAGTGTCGCCGTCTGCCACTCTGGCACTTTGGGCACACCAAGATTGTAGCCTCGGCTGTGCCGAACTTCCTCTCTCCCAAGAACCAACCATTCAACATCATTCAACGACATCATGCAAGGCGCGATCATCGGCAGAGTTCTTCCACTCGTCATCAGGCTGTCCGTGCTCTGCGGCCAAGGCCTGCCATTAATCCGGGCAGAAACTCTTGTAACGCACACAGAAAGCACTGCCGAAGGTCCTTGGCGAGCTTGTCATGGAGCTTCGGCTGAAGATCAGTGAATAGACCAAGCATGCACGGGCATGGCGTCGCTATGGCGACCTTTCTGCGCCGGACAGTTGCAGATCTGTCCAAGCTCGCGTGCTCTGCAAGTCCTGCCTCCGAATGGTCAGGCATGTTCCACCACCTTTTTCCTTGAGAAACTCGCAAAACATCATGTCCCTGCTCGCTCGTGCTGTGCACAGGCGAAAAGTTTCAAAGGCCTGGCTCCATTTCGCCAGTTGGGCCATTCGACTTCTTGAAGCCCTGGCTGACAAAGCACTTTCTCTTCAGGCATAGCTCATCAGCGCGAGCTTAACAGATTTTGCCTTCAAGCAACCATAGTCGGCCGAGTAGGGCTCTCCGCCAGGGTGATACCTCAGCGCACCATTAAGAACTCGTAACTTGCGTCCATCTCCCGGATGAGTGAACAGGCAAGCCGCAAGCCGCCAACTCCGGCTGCAGATCCTGCTGCACCAGCCAGGGCAGCACCTGGGAACACGTCTCGACTTGAGAAGCACTGTGGCAAAGATTGATTCTTCAAAAGGGATCCGATTCGCACGTTCAGCCTAGGCGCCAAGGGCATTGAAGGACATTGGCTTTTGGCCATTTTGGCCATCCTGTCCCTTCGATGTGGAGCCAGAGTTCACGTCACCAAACCTCACGGGGATATCTGGGATCATGATTGCTAGGTTGCGAGGACCCCGCTGCCCGGGCAGCGGCTGGGAACTGCCAGGTGGAGAAGGTGTCTGCCTCATGAAAAATCAGCAACGGCAAGCCAACACGGGTGTCTTGCGATTTTGCACCTGGCCCCAGTCTCCTGTTCACTGCTTTTTCAGAGCAATCTCGTTTACAGGAGAAACCTGCGGGCATTGTGTGTCTCGCTCCGTGCCGTGATGCTTCCTGATGCTGTCCTTCGAACCACACTGCCCAGCTCTTCTCTGAAGCTCTCTCCAAACAGAGCATTTGACTGAGACCCTCTCTCGCCGTGAAAGAGAGCGGGCAAGGAAGTGTGAGTCTCCTGGTCACGTCACTGTACGGTCGAGACTTAAGTTACAGTCTTTACCGTAGCCGCCGTAAACTTATTTGAACATCACATGGCGAGCCGCGCATCTCAGAACAAGTCCTCAACCTCCGGCTTAGGCCATTTTGCCCACAAGCCACTGGGCCTTCGGTGATTCAGCAAGGACTTTGTTGTTCATGCTATTTGAGTGCGAAGCAAAGCCGGGCTTCTGGCTGCAGAGAGCCTGCGCTGTCGCGCCAGGCCTAGCTGCAACGAACGGGTACTGAAGTTGCCACGCCCTAAAGTGCAATAAATGCCGAACATTGGAAGAACTGTCAAAAAGCCTTGTTGAAATAGCCGCCTGGGCATGGACAAGGCCTGAAAGTTTCAATTCACATGTCGGTGACACTCAGCTTCCCTGAGATCCGGCCCATGTCTCACAGTCTCACAGCTGCAGACTAGGTGTCAGGCAGCACGAACAGCTTCGGGCGTATCTCCAAACTAGCGCCATAACCTAACTCGTAGCTGATGTCCGGAGTCTCGCACAAAACGCTCTCTGAGGCGGCTTTAAGCTTCAGCTGTTTACGGAGTCCAAGGATGCCAGGTTTGCTGGTGCCATGCTAGTGCCATGCTGAAGCTGCTAAGGCTGACGCGTAGTCCTGGCAGCTCGTCGCCCAACAATTTGGGTGGGCCGGCAGCACAGGACCAGTCGTCGCGCCTCGGCAAAGCAGAGCGCCACAATGCAGCAAGGGCTCTTGAACACGTTTGAGTCCAGGATGCATTGTGTGCTTGGCGACTTCCTTGAGAAGCTCCTGGTGGTTCCATGATTGTCAAAGGCCGAACTTTGTCGTCCACTACAAACCACGTCTCAATAGATAGGTTTATGTTAAAAGTTGAAGCTTGCCTACTCCATCCTAGTTCCTCTACTCAAGGAGTTTCCAGGCTTCCAGTGCCATCCTTTGGCGGGGCAGTCATTGAATCAAGCTCTGTTGCTAGTGGGGCACAGGGATCACACAACCATCCGCAGTGCTTTCAATACATTCAAAAAACTCATAGTCCAAATAACTCATGCAATGGCTTAATACACCTCATACAAACTCCCAGCTGCCTGTTTGTTGACACCTGGCGGAATAGCTGGCCTTGGCGAAGATTTTCAGTCTTGGCGAATTTGAAATTCTCACGGAACAGGGAGTCGCGCTGCAGCCAAGACACATATCCTTCGCCTGCTCCATGAGGACATTTGTGGATGCTCCCATTCCGCCAGGTCCAAATCCTCGCAAGCTTGCAGGCGCGAGAGCGACATAGTTGGGAAGGCCATTGAACATCTTGCAAAAGACTTCCCGAAAAATCAGGTGTGCCAAGTCTGATCCACCCGGAGGTCATATCGGGCCTGGCCACATCCTTGCGAAGGAAAGGAGAGGCTGAAGTACTCTCCAGTACACGTCTGGTCATCAAGCGCATTGGCCGCATTGAAAATTTGGGAATCTAGGTCCTGTCGTTCATAGGTGCTTTGCATCCTGCTTGGGGCGTGTGATGGGCTTCGGATTCAGTTTGCTACGGCCCCACGAATCAAGGGCTACAGAAGCGAAGGCTACGGCGCATGATTAAGGCAACTTCCGTTTCTGTTTCATCCTGCTTGGATTGTGACACGATGCTCTTCTGCTCCATGCCACTGTATATACATGGGTTGCAAGAAGCATTGAGCAGCACTGCCATTGTCATACCTTGCGCTGTGAGCTGGAAGCAGGCAGGCAGGCCCACGTCTGTGCAGCAAACTTCCTGTCGATCACTGGAACCCTCAAGCATCCAGCGCAGAAGCAGCTCGCAGTGGTCTTGCAAGCCGTTGACAGGAAGCATGATGACCTGGGCATGGCCATGCATGCCGTATGGGGATATTCTTCCATGTCGCTTTGGGCATGCGGCGCCCCCATCTTGCGGCAATGCTTTTCCACCTCGAGAACACATCGTACTATTTCTGCATGCATGACCACTCGAGAAGCCACAGTGGCTGGGTGCTTGGCCGTGAAGAATGCTCAGCGCCAGTGGTTTCTCAATCCTTGCCCGAATCGCAGAAGCAAATGGCCGCACAATAGGCTCTCTGAGCTCTCTTCTTCTTCTGAGCAGCGAAGAGGCCCTCCATTCTCTCTACACAAGTGTCAAGTGCCATTTCGCCAAGGCAGGGACCCAGATCGGTCGATGAAACAACATGGGCACGTCACTCGAATCTGCAGCCCCCCAACATCCCCCAAGGAAATCCGACAAAGACCGCAAGAAGGTTGCTTAGCAGCTTCTTCATCCACAAGAACTGCGCGAACTTACATGAGCTGTGCTGCATACGATCAAGTGTCAAGATCCCGGCCTCTGTCTGGCCACACCTTCGCAGACGGGCCAGTCAGACAGGGTCTGCAAGCCATAAGCCATGCCCAACCTCTGAAAACCTCAGGCGCCAACACCTCAACCAGAACACCTGCGGCTGCCCCGGCCTCACCTGGCGGGGGCCATGCCAGTTCTGTTTAGGTGCCGCGCCTCAAAAAACCCAAAGGAACGACTCGAAACCCAGAACAAATGCATCTCGACTGTCGTGCTTCCAACGCATCTTCAACCCTTCTGGCAAATGTTCGACGACTGAGAGCCAGGGTCTGCACCCATTTACGTGCATTGAACAGCAGGGGAGGGGGGGGGGGGAATTTGCGTTGCACCGCAACACCTCCAGGTAGACTGAAAAAGTAGGTTTCGATTTCGTAGCAAACCGTGGCCCCCCAAGCTCAGCATATTTCAGCGTGCTATCTGAGGTAGTGCCCCGTATATACAGAACCGATGCGCCATAGTCTGGCTTGTGACATGTGATATGTCAAACAAAACTGCAGCATGCAATACGCTGCTCATTCCAAGACTGACGGCGGACTGATGGCAGCCTGCCTGCAAGCTGGTAAATTTGTACCGTTCTGCTGCATCTCGCCGCTCCAGGCGAGTCATCTGCCTTCAGCAGGTCCCGATCGGCTGGTGCTGATTGATTGCCACGCACACACACGTTGCACAAGTTCTGACCATGTCGACTTGGCAAAGGCCTGCTGGAAGCAGTTGCCCTGGCACACAGTGTCGAACATACATGCTCCAGGCGTCATACAGGTCGTTGCTGCGGGTGCAAGCTGCACCTCAAACTGCACAACCTCAGACCATGGTGCCACACTGCCAAGCCTTGCAGTCCAGGAATGAAGCCTACTTGGGTCAAAGTGCAGGCGCAGGCACAAAGCATGCTTAGACACCAGCCGGAAGCAGATTTGCAAGCCTACCTCCTGCACTGGCAAGCTTTATAAACTTCATGTGTGCCCCATCTACTTCATGTGTTCCCCATCTTTGCCGACACACTGCGACACACGCATGGCTTCAGACAGTCCTCCGCCAAGCCAAGGAAGCTGTATATGTCATGCCTGGCCGAAATTTGCGACAATGCACAGACTCAGCTGACAAAGGGAAAGCCATGCATGCCCCGTGTGCCTGGTCAGTTTCTCCAACGTCACCTGCTGCCATTGGAAGCTTGCTGCTGCAGCCTGGGAAATGCAGGCAACGACATGACCAGTGTTCTTGACCAGTGCAGGTCACACACACACACACACACACACACACACACACACACACACACACACACACACACACACACACACACACACACACACACACACACACCAACCAACCATCGGTTCAAGTGAAAACGTGGATAGCTTGGCTTCGAAGTGGCAGTTGATGCTGCTGGGCTTGAAGCTTGTAGTGAAGCTACGCAGGATAGCAGAAATTCAGGGAACGGAGTTCAAGTCTCTGCCGCACTTGCTGGGCTTGGTCCGACACATCTCCGGGAGCAAAGCTGATGCTCAGACCTCCTGAACTAGCAAGTCGTATGATGCAACGAATTCAAAGGCATGCGACAATGGCACAGCACTCCTAGTGGAAGACCGTTTATGAAGACCTGCAATAGGTATGTCGAACTCAGGCTCAGCTTTGCGAGCTGCTTGGCTGAGCATTGCACCAGAGCAGGTCTCAAGCACACAGTCGTGGCCATGCATTCCTCAGACTGCCAAACATTTTCTGATGTGTTATGCCGCTATTGCCATGCCTCCTAGGCAGAATGCCTCCCCCGCACCCCCCCCCCCCCCACTCCGCCCCCCAAACTTGCAAGCACAGAAAGCTTTTTTGCAACCTGGGACTTGGTGACTGCCAAAACACATGCCCTGAAACCCTGCCCCACTGAACAAGCCGACGACGTGCACACAGCTTGACAATTTCTCAAAAGTTTCTCAAAGACTGTATGAGTGACGTGTGGGAGCTCGGCTAGGGTCCGCTATGAAATCCAGCACAGAAAGCCCTGGAGTCGCAATTGTTGAGGCGTGGGCCTTTTGTGCCTGTGGCCTGGGCTGCCCCAAGGATGCTTAGGCGTGTGCCGCCGAGGCCTACGTGCAACTCGGTACTTATCCGAGGACATGGCTCCACGACAAGAACCGTCTCGTTTTGGCCTGCAGGCCCTGCAGGCTCAGCCGCCCAAGATTTTGAAGTCAATTTTGAAGGACGTGTGTGTGTGTGTGTGTGTATGTATATATAAAAAACACATATGCGTAGTTGAGCGGCGCGCCTGCAGCACAACAGAGCTGCGGACCTGATGTCTGAACAAAAGAAATGATGCCAGAAAAGTCCGCAGCTGCTGACACAGGCCGGGGTCAGCACCCAGCCCACTGCCGACTTGCACTTTTGCCTTTGTGCATGTTGACAGTTGCGCATCTGCAAAAATACCAATGCTATGGACAGTCAGACCCTCTGAGCGACTGGCAGGGACAGAGTCGAAGAGCGGCTGGACCTCACCGCACCACCAGGGTTGAGTGAGCACGGGGCCATCACAACACATGCGCCCCACAACGTGTGAGCTGCTTCCACAACTACAACAGCCATCTGAAGCCACAGGCCCCTCCGGGGATTTTTCGGGGTCGCGGGGCGGCATCAGAAAGAAAGATGCCTGTCGCTACGCCTCCTCTTCTCGAGAGCCTACTGGCTCACACAAGTGACTTTGCTTGTTCACTTCTTCTGAATTCCAATGGGCTGTGTGATGTCTTATGTGTGGCACAGCACGGGAACTCATCGTTCAACGTGTTGCAAACCAGAAGAACAGACGTCCGAGCACGGGGGAGGGGGGAAGGAAGGGGGGGGGGTTTCGGAGCCGCCCCTTCGATTTTAACTTTTGAGAGAACGTGCAACTGGGGCTCCAACAAGTACACGAGGCTTAGGGCCGATTGGGATGTCAAAAAGTTCGATTGGAGGCGTCTGAGTGTTTGAATGTCTGAGTGGCAGTTTTTCAACTTCCGCCCTCCAACACCCCCCCCCCTCCCCCAATGCTGCAGGGGATCTCCTGTGCAAGCGACAGCTCAAGAGAATTGCCTTGTCTGGTCTGAAACATCTCTTATTGCTTTTCATGCTATGATTCTTCTTCATGTTCTTCTTATTGATGTTCTCCTTCTTCTTCTTCTTCTTCTCAGGGGGAGCGGGGATGCGGAGTGAATGCCCCAGTCCGGGAGTTTCGGGAAACCAGATGCCCCTTGCTCGCTCCTCTTTCTGAGGCGAGGGCTGTCAGCCACGCACGATGCACGCGAGAGCCTCCACTAAGCGTGCTACTTAGCTACTCAGCTCCTTGCCGGGTTTTCAACTATGGGATGCTCTGGGCGCCTCCTGCAGCGGGCCTCCGCCTGGCAAACACTGGCACCGGAACCTGAGGCAAGGGTCCGACCCCGTCGTACAAGAATGAAGTTCGAAGTGATACAAGAGACGCTGTCGCTGTCTGGGGCAACTATCGCGAACGCATATATAATAAGAAATGATGCCAAACAAGAAGTGAGACCCTGGCCAAGGTTCCATTTCGTAATGCAGGTCTGGCATACGGCGGCAGAGTTTTTACCATGGGTGTTCCAAACACTACTTCTTGGCAATACCCTGGGCCCGCACCCACACCCTCCGCCTCCCTCCAGCCCTCCAGCCCTCCAGCCCTCCAGCCCTCACCCTCCACGCTGGAGAGTGGGAATGGAGGTCTGGAGGGCTGGAGAAAGGGCTGGAGGTCAAGCTTCTAGAAATCTTCCCGGGCATTGAGCCAATCTCACTTTTGTTACTACCGAAATGCCCACCAATAAATTTCCAGATTCTATAATCCGATGGACGCCCATTTCTTTTTGAATGCATTCACCGTAGTGAGGAACTGAGGCCGAAACAGCTCCGAAGCTGTTCGGTGGTAGCACCTCCAGTAGCGCAAAGGAATCTTCGAATCCAGGTTTGGGAATGGACGCGACATGTCAGGACTATGCACCGGACCAGTGCCCCCTCCTCTTGACCTTCGCCCTCTGGAGGTCCGCCTCAGAGCTTCACATGCGGCCCATGCAACGTTCCTCCGCTTGCAGCTGAAGGATCGCGCAGCTGTTCCTAGATGTTGTAGGTGGCTCCTCAAGTGTCACGGGGCAGGAGGTCAGGGAGGCCTCTCAAGGAGGCCTCGGGGTCACCCAACAGCCAAGATATGTCTCACGCGTCCTCATAGCCAAGGACTGCAGCCTGGCTCCATGTTCCAAACTTCCCAAGCCTACTGAATATGCTTTAAGTAGGTCAGAAAGCACCGAGCGATCGGCATCGCAAACTGCGGTCTGTGGTACATGCAGCATCAGAACCTGAATGAAGTCTATCACGCTTTCGGCAGCCTTCGACGCACCGTCACATGCCAGGCCTCGTGCTGGAACGGGTCAAGAAAACGCAGCACCAGTGTGAGAGCTGTCCTTGCTCAGGGCTGCGGTTTATTTGCGGGTGCTGCGCCGGACGCACCCTGCCTATTGTACAAGCGAAGCAGCGGTGCCTGAGCACACCATGCTTTACATCGACGGTCGGGGACAACTTGGAAAGAGTCATAGAGGCTCTGGCGAGAAGTAGTAGTCTCTGCGAATCCTCAACGTGCATCTCCTGGGAGTCGAAACTCGATTTACTGCAGGTGCTTCGCGCAAGATGTGACCTTGACGGGATTTTGCCGACGAGGCGCAGCAACAGCTTCACCATTTGGAATCACGACATCACCTCAACGCAATATGGGTATTTCCCCAAATAGGGGTACCCTTGGTATGCCCCAAAATAGTATAATCCTTATTATAAGAACCCCCCAAAAGGGTACCCCCTAATTTCGGAAACCCCGATGTGTATTTGTGCCCTCTGGCACGGGCACGCAACAGATTACTCCGCGTGAGCTGGTGAACTTTTGTGCAAGCCGCTTGCAATCCAGTTAATCCAGTCCGGGATGCATGAACACATGCAGAAAAAGCAGGCTACAAGCAACTCGCTGACTTCTGCCAGCTGTTGCGTGTGCGCACTATCAGTCACTATCAGGGACCTCGTGTTACATTCAAGAATGTCATCATCAAGAGGGGAGGGTGCTGTGCTGGCTGTCTCGTAATAATAAACCAACTGGCATGTCAGCTGGAAGAGCAGCGCACGTCATGGGACAATCTCGGGCGCTTTGCCCTCGAATACTCGCCCGCGCCCGCAGGAAACTAGGTTGTAGAGAATATGGAAACTTTTGGTGGGCCAATGAAGCAGCATGACTATTTGCAGCGGGCACGGGGATCTGGCACTTTCTCACAGGCGAACGGAGTAGTGCAGGCGCGGCAGCGCAGTAACATCTGCCAGTTTTTGGAGACGAAACTGCCTGTCCACAAGCTTACTCTATCTTTCTCTGCTAAGAAGTAGGGATCAAAGATCTGGCCCAAGGCCATGAAAACACTTAGCCGATGCCTTTTTCGACCTTCTGCATGCAAGATTTGGATCTCTCCTGGAATACTTCGACCCCCATTTCTCACCTTAGTGGCAGCTACCACTGCTTGCTGGCGATTCTAAGGCCCTACCTGTTACCTGCCCAACTTTCGCCCAGCAATCGCCAGCCTGTGCAAGCACATCGCACATCTGACCTTTGCGAGACCGCCCATACCTGCGCCCTGGCCCTGCCTGCCACAGTTTCAGTAAGTCCTGGAATGAAACAGGAAAGCTGTTGGTACATGCGGTGGCACTTAGTGCAGGAAAGCCGTCGCCTGCCACTCTCTTTGAGGAATAGCTCGCAATCGGAGGCAGGAAACCTCTCATGTTGACCGGAAGACCGGTCAATTGCAAGAAATGCTGTCAAACTGGTGACCTAAGGACCTACCCAGTGATTGGTCCCTTGACAATGCACGAGAAGGCCACAAAAACGGTCGAGCCGGGGTCAGCAAGAGCCTTGGCTTGGAGCATCATGTGCGGAGGGATCTCTCCATGCCTGTGGCACGAAGGAGACGCACGACTCCCAGCTGCAGTGATCTGCAGTTTTCTGCAGCAACCCTTGCCAGGTACACCCTGGCCTTGAAGTTCTTCTCTTCTTCTCTGGTTCCACAGCCTGCAAAGAGCAAGGCCAAGACACAAAGTACTCAGCACTAGCAAGCTGTGAATCGGAGAACATTAGCTGCATGCAGTGCACCCTTTTGTTGCCACAGAGAGCATTCCCCAAAACATCTGACCGAACTACGTGTCCATGAAAGCATCCTGCTCATGGCCGCGGAACGTCTAGCTACGCCGAACGACGTTGTGACAAAACTACATCGCGTTTTGTTGGGCAGTTGCAGAGAAGACGCGAAGATCTGAGCTTGAGTTATTTTGAGGAGCAGTCGTCTCCAAAGAGCTGCCATTAAAACTGGTACTGCTACTGGTGACACAGAGTGAACGCATTCACGACGTTGCATATTGGCAACGGGGGAAAACATCTTGCATCGCACCAGCCCTTGCATAACCAACTCCCCACCTTAATATTAAGACTTATGCAAAAAATGTTTTAAACTTGTCTCATCTAATCCCGCTTAACATTCGAGACTCTTAGACTGTGCTGGGAACGGCTTACACCTTCACAAATTATGACCTGTCTTCGAGATCATCAGCTGAAACTGACATGGTTTCCGTCAGAACGCCATCATCGCTCTACCATGGCTATTCTCTTTGCCCATCGCACTCTATGTGCTCCTTGCTTCAAAGCAAAGACCGTTAAGACCCAGAAAATGCCAAAATTGTCAGTCTTGTAGCCATCTAGTCCACGAGGCGCAGCATACAACGGACACCATTTCTTGGATCTATCGACCACACGTCACCGCGCCAAGGCCACGTGCACGCAACTCTTACCAGACAGACATTCAAGAACACACTGCTTTGAAAGGCCATGCCCTTGACATGTGGGGCACTCAAAGGTGCACATCCTTCGTCTCCGCCGCTGGTGTCTCTGCAGTGGCTGTTGTTGTGTCTGCAGCCGTCTCGCTCAGGACCTGCTCGGCGGGAATGCCTACAACACAACCAGCAAATTAGCCGGCAATGCGGCAGAGCTGCTGCTGAACTCAGTTGGGAACACCTGCGCTGAGACCTGCCTATGACCGTAGGTCAGCTTCAAGCATAATGTCTTGAACTTGGGGGACTTGTGACGTCAAGCCCTCGAGCTGCGAATCCAGCTGTCACTTCATTCTCTTTGTGGGACATTGCAGCCTGTGATTTGGAGCACCCCACGATCCAAGCTAATTGCAGTAGACGCATGCCTTTTGTCATAACGTTTGCCTACTGCCCTTGCTCTCTCCTACTCCCAACAGCTCTCTTTTCAGGCAGGGTTCCCTGCTCCTCGACTCTCAGCAAGGCACTCGAAGTGCCGACTACCGAGTTGCCACTTCCAACATTCCCAATCCGTGCCTGCTCCAAGTCGTGGTGTGATGCCGCCCGCGCTGAAGCTGGAATCGTCGGAAAGTTCTTGCGGGAGCGGGGCGATGTTCGACGACACACTTCTTCATTGCTACTCTCATGCCCCCGTAACCAGAAAACCGATTGCACCTACAAAGCAATGAAAGGGAGACAATACGTGACAACCTTGTTCTTCGTGACTGCCCATATGGCCTCCTGGAACTCGAAGCGCTCTCTTTTCAAGTATCGCATCTCCTTTTGGCTGGAAGTCCGACTTGAAATCATGGGGCAAAAAAAACAAGCGCTCTCAGCTGAACTTCTGACCGACTTACTTCGATGCACCAAGACGGGTCAAGTCACATCCAGGATTTGGTAATAGACCTCTGTCAAGATCATGTACACAAAGACCAGCAAGACTGCGTAGATGATAGGAATGCTCCATTGTGATTCGTGCTTCTTCATCCACTCATCGATGAAGAAGGTGGTAGTGCTGTTGCAGACGTCCATCCAGCCCCAGCCGACAGTCAGTGACATGGCCTGGGAGCGTGAGATCTCAGCGAGTTCTGGAAGTTGACCCACGTTGACTCTGACACTTTTGCATCCGGGCTTTGGGGAGTCGGCCGGGAATCAGGATGACTCTGACACTAAGACACTAAGCCCTGAACCCCTACACCCTTAAACCCTAAACCCTAACCCCTAATTAAAGCCTAAACCCCTGATGCTTGGCTGCTGTGGAGGTTGCGGATCGCCTCTCCATGTGCTGTAACCCAAATTGGGAACATTCCGCCGCGAAGAGCTCTCAACACTACGGCAAATAAAGTCGTAGTTCACGATCTAACTTGCCGGAATTGTGTCGTGGTTGCTACGGGTCGTATCGTGCTTTTGTCCTGACCCGACCCCTTTTGCACCTGGGCTAAGCCCGGGGCCAAAAAGCCCAAAACCTAAACAGCCTTGAGTATGGCGAATTAAAGTGGAACGGCACACTTTCGACTGTGCAAAGCTAAGATGCCGTGATCATCAGCGTGCGATAGGACTTGCTGTGGGCACTTCGATACTCTTGCATACCTGACACGCGCGAATGTTACGATTTACAATCTAGTGAAGTCATCGCCAAGCATGGTCCTGACATGGAAGGGGAACCTGTCTTTACGATGTGGCAGTTCATATGCTGGACACTTACGACGAGGTGCTGAGCTGCTTCATATAAGCTCCTTGGCTCACGCTGCGGAAGTACGGATCTCGCAAAACGACCATGCAAGTCACGACAAGCAGGCTGCCTTTAAGTTCATGGTGAGAGTCCCAGGATTAACGAGGTAAGGATGGCGTAGTACCACACCAGTGGGTACTGTGGAGTCTCTGTGCACCTTCCCGGGGTCGCAAACTTGTTCTTGCTTTCTCTCATGCCTCGTCAGCTGCAAATTATTTTTTGCCAGGTGCACGATGACCATGAAGATGATGGGCAGCCTCGGCACGATGTTCGATTCACATGTGCGTGACAAGCTACCGGACTGAACAAAATTCAGTTTCTTCACGATGCTAGATGGCTGCATCTGTGACATAAGCGCAAAGGCCAAGGAGCCATTGAAGAATGGAAAATATATCACCCTGGCAATTCGAACGCAGATGAAGCGATCGATGCGAGAGGTCTGAGACTTTGCTACATGGTGCAAACTAGGCATAAACACAGGCTCCACACCTCAGTGTGTCGCTGAAGCCCCAGCCATAGACGAAGGCGGTCGCATGCGTTACGGTGTCACAGACATCGTTGGCAACTTCCTTATCGGCAGGATTAAAAGTTTGCTTCCTCACTTCGATCTTGATCGTACCTGGCAGTCCGCTGCTTGCCCAGTCACCAGCTCAAATGCGGCTACGTAGTCTTCGTCTTCCTCCAAATCCCTAGGCCAGCCATTCAGCCAACTGCCATTCAGCAGAACGACAAACTTGCAACCACCAGTCCCGGCGCCGTGTTTTTCCCAGGCCCTGCAGCTGAGTTGCTCCTGTCTTTTCTCGCGCGATTCCTTTCTGTTCTGGAACCACGCGTCGAACCTCTCATGCAGAGGTGGAGGGCATGTCACTGAATTACAGTGTAAGATGCTACAAACACGAGCGGATGTCAGAAGATGAAAGCCGAGCAAAAACTGGAGTCGAGCAGGCGACACTGGTTAATGCTCACCTCTTGTACCGCTTGCGCATGTGTGTGTGTGTGCATGTGCTTGTGTGTGTGTGTGTGTGTGTGTTTTGGTTGGTGTGTGTGTGTGTGTGTGTGTGTGTGTTTTGGTGTGTGCGTGTGTGTGTTTTGGTGTGTGCGTGTGCGTGTGCGTGTGCGTGTGCGTGTGCGTGTGCGT